CCCTCTACTCCCAATAGAAGCGGAGATATCGACGGATGAAGGCTGGATATCGACGGAGAAAGGTTAGAAAACTTTAACCTTCGATATCTCCTAAACGGTTAGAGATACAGGCTTCGGACAGGTACCAAATTAAAGCCCTTTCAAAACCCTACATTTTGGACTACATGGACGACCCTCTACTCCCAATAGAAGCGGAGATATCGACGAATGAAGGCTGGATATCGACGGAGAAAGGTTAGAAAACTTTAACCTTCGATATCTCCTAAACGGTTAGAGATACAGGCTTCGGACAGGTACCAAATTAAAGCCCTTTCAAAACCCTACATTTTGGACTACATGGACGACCCTCTACTCCCAATAGAAGCGGAGATATCGACGAATGAAGGCTGGATATCGACGGAGAAAGGTTAGAAAACTTTAACCTTCGATATCTCCTAAACGGTTAGAGATACAGGCTTCGGACAGGTACCAAATTAAAGCCCTTTCAAAACCCTACATTTTGGACTACATGGACGACTCTCTACTCCCAGTAGAAGCGGAGATATCGACGGAAAAAGGTTGGAAAACTTTAACCTTCGATATCTCCTAAACGGTTAGAGATACAGGCTTCGGACAGGTACCAAATTAAAGCCCTTTCAAAACCCTACATTTTGGACTACATGGACGACCCTCTACTCCCAATAGAAGCGGAGATATCGACGGATGAAGGCTGGATATCGACGGAGAAAGGTTAGAAAACTTTAACCTTCGATATCTCCTAAACGGTTAGAGATACAGGCTTCGGACAGGTACCAAATTAAAGCCCTTTCAAAATCCTACATTTTGAACTACATGGACGTCTCTCTACTCCCAGTAGAAGCGGAGATATCGACGGAGAAAGGTTGGAAATCTTTAACCTTCGATATCTCCTAAACGGTTAGAGATACAGGCTTCGGACAGGTACCAAATTAAAGCCCTTTCAAAACCCTACATTTTGCACTACATGGACGACTCTCTACTCCCAGTAGAAGCGGAGATATCGACGGAGAAAGGTTGGAAAACTTTAACCTTCGATATCTCCTAAACGGTTAGAGATACAGGCTTCGGACAGGTACCAAATTAAAGCCCTTTCAAAACCCTACATTTTGGACTACATGGACGACTCTCTACTCCCAGTAGAAGCGGAGATATCGACGGATGAAGACTGGATATCGACGGAGAAAGGTTGGAAAACTTTAACCTTCGATATCTCCTAAACGGTTAGAGATACAGGCTTCGGACAGGTACCAAATTAAAGCCCTTTCAAAACCCTACATTTTGGACTACATGGACGACTCTCTACTCCCAGTAGAAGCGGAGATATCGACGGAGAAAGGTTGGAAAACTTTAACCTTCGATATCTCCTAAACGGTTAGAGATACAGGCTTCGGACAGGTACCAAATTAAAGCCCTTTCAAAACCCTACATTTTGGACTACATGGACGACCCTCTACTCCCAGTAGAAGCGGAGATATCGACGGATGAAGGATGGATATCGACGGAGAAAGGTTGGAAAACTTTAACCTTCGATATCTCCTAAACGGTTAGAGATACAGGCTTCGGACAGGTACCAAATTAAAGCCCTTTCAAAACTCTACATTTTGGACTACATGGACGACCCTCTACTCCCAGTAGAAGCGGAGATATCGACGGATGAAGGATGGATATCGACGGAGAAAGGTTGGAAAACTTTAACCTTCGATATCTCCTAAACGGTTAGAGATACAGGCTTCGGACAGGTACCAAATTAAAGCCCTTTCAAAACCCTACATTTTTGCACTACATGGACGACTCTCTACTCCCAGTAGAAGCGGAGATATCGACGGAGAAAGGTTGGAAACTTTAACCTTCGATATCTCCTAAACGGTTAGAGATACAGGCTTCGGACAGGTACCAAATTAAAGCCCTTTCAAAACCCTACATTTTGGACTACATGGACGACTCTCTACTCCCAGTAGAAGCGGAGATATCAACGGCGAAAAGTTGGAAAACTTTAACCTTCGATATCACGTAAATGGCTAGAGGTACTGGCCTGTTTCTGGCACCAAAATATAGTGCTGTAAAAGCGCTACATTTTGCCATATATTGCGACTCCCATTTCACTCAGGAAATTTATTTTCGGAAATCCGACGTTTCATTCAGAGTTCTGGTTAGCCCCGCACGAGTTCTAGAGAATATTATTAACACTCGGAGCGCTAAAACCAAAATTGAAAGTGTTCTCGCCGATTTTTAGTTGAAGGAGATGGAAATATTCGACTCGTTGGACGAAAATCGGCGATAACTCTTTCAATTTTGGTTTTAGCGCTCCGAGTATTAATAATAATCTTCAGAGCTCATGAGGAGCCAACCAGAACTCTGAATGGAACGTCGGATTTCCGAAAAAATCTTTCGATCCGAGGTACATGGATATATTCGACTCGATGGACGAAAATCGGCGAGAACTCTTTCAATTTTGATTTTAACGTTCCGAGTGTTAATAATAATCTTCAGAACTCGTGAGGGGCTAACCAGAACTCTGAATGAAACATCGGATTTAAACAAAAAATTGATTGTTTATTAAATACGTAAAATTTTTTTTTCGGAAATCCGAAATTTTTTTTCGTTTTCTAATTCGAGAATTTGAAATATAATTTTCCTTATCTTTTTAAACAGAACTATTTTTAGAACTTATCTAGAACTATAGAACTATTAAAAATCTATCTAGAACTAAAAAAAAATTGTCATTTTTTACATAATGAGAGGCGTCGTGAAGTTGGCCCTCCGATTTTTAAAATGGTATTTTCTCTACTTTAAATGACGGAACTTTTTCTATAAAGGATTGCGAATTCTAGAACTCTGCGAAGGGCATTCAGAACTGTAATAATTTGTTTCAAATTTGAAGAATGAAGGGCCATCTTCACAGAGGTGATGGAGCGAACATATTCTCTGTCTCTCTTTTGCTTGGCTCGTCGAAACAAGTCGAGCGGTGGGCGAGGTCTCAGAGGAAGTGTCATCGACGAAACGTGCAATGCTTGCGATGCCCGTGTGTTGTATGCAATACGTGCATTTTCTTAAAAAATGAAAAAAAATTTATTGTGATACACGTATGTTGTATGCAACACGTGCATTTTCCTAAAAAACGAAAAAAAAAAGATTGGCGAAAAAGGACAACCGACCGCCAAGGAGATGCGAACCTCAACCCTGCGAGTCCAGCGTACTTCCACCAAGCCACACGCTCTTTAAGAAGTTCGTTCCTTCATTGGTTCATGAAGCACTCGCGATTTTCAATCGCGACTTTCTTGCAAACGCTTCATGCTACGCCGTATCTTTAAGTGCAATGTTAATTTGTCATGCAAATCTATCGACACAACGAGTTTAGTCGAAATCGATTGCTATTGATCATCTCGTTGGATTCACGCCGAGAGTGAAACGTCAGTCTCGGCCGTGTGTCGGGAAGCACATCTCGGCAACGTTGCGAATTAGAGCGAGATGGAGCGAACACATTCCCTCTCTCTCTCTCTTTCGCTTGGCTCGTCAAAACAAGCCGAGCGGAGGGCGGGACTTCAGACGGATAGATGGGAGCAGTTTCTCTGTGTGTGTGTGCCGACTCCATTCTTACATAGAAACGTACGGCAATTGAAAATGTTAAGCATATACCCTGAGATTCTATCTGTTGCGTATGACACGTGTGCGTGCGCGCGCGCGCGCGCGTGTGTGTGTGTGTGTGTGTGTGTGTGTGTGTGTATGTGTGTGTGTGTGTGTGAGTGCGTATATGCACACGTACGTCACTCACACTTTCAATGCAACATATGCACACGGACACAACTGCGCTAAAAAACGCCTGCCGGAGTATAAATAAATACTAATGTAACGCTGAAATATTTTGGAAAAATAATTTTGGGTACACACAAAATATTATCTTATTATCATATATTTATGTGTCGATATAAATCGTATATAATCTTCATGATATTAATCATATACAATCTCAATTCTTATTTTTTTTGTGCATGTTAACATGTTAATTCAGTTTCATGTTACAAATGCATAACAATGCGCGAGACCGTGCTTGTCAAGTACGCTATTATGGTTGTAGCACGGACATAAACCGCCTGAAAGTGGATGTAGCACGGACAGCCACCAGATGCAGGTTTTACCGTCGAGACCTAAAAGTGGATGTAGCGTCGTAGTTCCCCTCTCAAAATGGATGCAGATAGCGCCCATTCCCAGTGCGAAAAATCGGTGTCGCCGAAAACGCCGTGTTGGCCGCTCTCAGCTTCCTCTCTGCTATGAATATGGGTGTAAAGCTTACTACACCTATTGTAGATCCGACCTAAAATGTAACATGTAACCTAAAAATCCTTGTACAATGCCAGACAACAGGTCATAGAAACAATAATAAAAATAAGGCAATAGAAATAAGGAGTAAAAATTGTTGTCACTGAAAAATTACCAATACACAATAATGCTACAGTGATAAAAACCATTCAATCGGAAAGTTCAAAATCATCATGTATGCAGCCATATTGTTTTAAAGCATTTGAACCCAATGACCCAATTGGATCCAATGCCTTATTGGTCAAGCATGCACTACTGCGCATACTCGATGTTACATCTTTCTTTTCATAATGTAGAGTTCACTCGCTCATTAGTCCTGGTAGCTGTGGATTTACAATGTCATATATTCAATGTTTACAGTATCATTTATATTACAATAGTTTCTTAAAGTAGAAATTTTTATTTTAGCAAATCTAATTTTTAATAATTGATTTCAAATGCATAGTATAAGCTCCTGATATACAGACTAATATTTCTCAGTTAATCATATTTACGTTTAGTACGGATATCAAGTTATAATTTAATAGGTTAGAATGTTACAGAGTATATTAATCTCACTCATCCGAGATCTATGAAATAGAAAGGGATATAAAACTGATGACTTTATATATATATATATCTACATTGCAATTTATTTATCAAATATTTCAAAGAATCTATACAATATGACATCCATTATAAAACTTCACGCTATCTCTGGAGCAATGGATGAGTCTCCACCTTGCTATATATTGCAAGTTGATGAGCTAAGAATATTATTAGATTGCGGATGGGATGAAAACTTTGATCAGGATTTTATAAAAGAATTAAAGAGGTATGATATCAATGAAACAACTTTGAATTAGTCAAATACAATATATTTGTGCACATCTTTATTTCTTTATTACCATGTTTTTAGACATGTCAATCAAATAGATGCAGTATTACTTTCATATCCAGATCCATTACATCTGGGTGCATTACCATATTTAGTAGGAAAATGTGGTTTGAATTGTCCTATATACGCCACCATACCTGTCTACAAAATGGGCCAAATGTTTATGTATGACATGTATCAGGTATAATTTTTTAACATACTGTAATAAGTCTACTATATTGATAAATATTAACTATAACTATGTTGATAGATCAATAACATTTTACACATTGTACTGATTTCAGTCCCGCCATAACATGGAAGACTTTGATTTATTTACTTTAGATGATGTTGATGCCGCGTTTGACAAAATAGTACAACTGAAATACAATCAAAGTATATCAATGAAAGGTAAAGGCTATGGTGTTACACTGACACCATTACCAGCAGGACACATGATTGGTGGTACAATCTGGAAAATTGTTAAAGTAGGAGAGGAAGATATAATATATGCTGTAGATTTCAATCATAAGAAAGAACGTCATTTGAATGGTTGCGAATTAGAAAGGTTGCAAAGGCCATCATTGTTAATAACAGATGCATTTAATGCCACATACCAGCAAGCTCGACGAAGAACAAGGGATGAAAAGCTGATGAGTATGTTTTATATTTCTTATTAAAGCTGAAATTAGTCTTTAGTAAAATTTAAATTGAAACATAGTCATTGATATTCGGTTCAAAGATATATTTTAATGATTTATTTATTTATTATAAATGTTTAGCTAATATCCTGCAAACATTACGAGGTGGTGGCAATGTATTGGTCAGTGTAGATACTGCTGGTCGTGTACTAGAATTAGCACACATGTTAGATCAACTATGGCGCAATAAGGAGTCAGGATTGCTTGCTTACTCACTAGCCCTTCTTAACAATGTGAGTTATAATGTTGTGGAATTTGCAAAATCACAAATTGAGTGGATGAGTGATAAGTTGATGAGAAGTTTTGAAGGTGCGCGCAACAATCCATTTCAATTTAAACACTTGCAACTTTGTCACAGTATGGCTGAATTGAATCAAGTTCCAAGTCCAAAGGTAAATTTAAACATCTTTATTTGTGTTCGATATATGATTAATTTCATATAAATTAATTCTAAATGTTTCATTTAGGTGGTACTTGCTAGCACTCCGGATATGGAATGTGGATTTTCCCGAGAATTATTTCTTCAGTGGTGTACCAATCCACAAAATAGCATTATATTAACGAGTAGAACATCTCCGGGTACGCTTGCTAGAGATCTAGTAGAGAAAGGTGGAAATCGAAATATTACATTGGAAGTAAAAAGACGAGTAAAGCTCGAAGGTATCGAACTGGAGGAATATCAAAAGAGGGAGAAATTGAAGCAAGAGCAATTGAAACAAGAACAAATGTATGTGCGTGTGTTGTGTGTGTGTGTGTGTGTGTGTGTGTGTGGTGTGTGTGTGGTGGTGGTGTGGTGGTGTGGTGGTGTGGGGTGTGTGTGTGTGTGGTGTGGTGTGTGGTGTGTGGTGGTGGTGTGTGTGTGGTGGTGGTGTGGGGGGTGTGTGTGGTGGTGTGTGTGGTGTGTGTGTGTGTGTGTGTGTGTGTGTGTGTGTGTGTGTGTGTGTGTGTGTGTGTGTGTGTGTGTGTGTGTGTGTGTGGTGTGTGTGTGTGTGTGTGGTGTGTGTGTGTGTGTGTGTGTGTGGTGTGTGGTGTGTGTGTGTGTGGTGTGTGTGTGTGTGTGTGTGTGGTGTGTGTGTGTGTGTGGTGTGGTGCGCGTGCGCGTGCGCGTGCGCGTGCGCGTGCGCGTGTGTGTGTGTGTGTGTGTGTGTGTGTGTGTGTGTGTGCATTCATTTATTGTTCAGCTATAGTCGTTTATAATCTTCTCACTCAAGTTTATAATGCGTTTCATTAGGGAAATTGCGGACGTCAGTTCCGAATCGGAAGACGAAATAGAAGTAGGCGGTGCCCGAGGTAAACACGATTTATTGGTGAAGCAAGAAAGCAAACCCGGCTTCTTTAAACAAAGTAAAAAGCAACATCCTATGTTTCCATTTGTGGAGGAGAAAATTAAGATAGATGAATATGGAGAGATTATAAAGTAAGGACAGTTCTGTATGTCACACAATCAATTACAACTAACGAATGTATTTCTATAACTAATAGTGCTTATGGGTTATATGCTTTATATGAATCTTTATTTCATTTCTTATTTCATTAATTTATTTATTTCAGACCGGAAGATTATAAAATAGCAGAGACCTTACCTGAAGTTGAGGATAATAAGGAGAACGTAGAAATGAAGCAGGAAGAAATCAACCATCATCCAGAAATAGCCGCCGATATTCCAACCAAATGCATACAAGTTTCACGTGCGATGACTGTCAACGCTGCGGTAACTTATATCGACTTCGAAGGTAGATCTGATGGGGAATCTCTACAGAAAATCTTGGCACAATTAAGACCAAGAAGAGTGGTTTTAGTCAGAGGCTCGTCTAAAGATACAGAGATATTAGCACAGCAAGCGCAAAGTGCCGGAGCAAGAGTATTCATTCCTGCTAGAGGAGAAACGCTAGATGCCACAACGGAAACGCACATTTATCAGGTAATGTTTGATTATTGTTATTGACTAGTGATTATAATCGTAATTAATTCAAGAGAGATTTGTTAAATGAAACGTACATCTTTTTGTTGCAGGTACGTTTGACCGATGCTCTGGTTAGTGGACTGAATTTCTCGAAAGGTAAAGGCGATTCCGAAGTGGCGTGGATAGATGCAATGATAACGGCGCGTGATCAAATCTGTCGAGATGCTATTGCCGATACAGAACCTGAGGATGCAATAATGGATGAAAGTGATAAAATACTGACCTTGGAACCTCTGCCGTTGAATGAGGTGAAATATGTTGATTCACAAGTGAGAAATATGTAACATTGAAAACGTGGTCCACTTAATTATTCATATAAATTGTATTATTGCTAGGTTCCCGGACACCAGACAACATTCATAAACGAATTGAAATTATCGGATTTCAAACAAGTCTTAAATAAAAGTAACATCTCATCAGAATTCAGCGGAGGAGTATTGTGGTGTTGCAATAATACCATTGCTGTTAGAAGAGTTTGTGTTACACATATAATAATCATAGATTTTTCATAGTTTCCTACGTTTTATTCTCCCGACTTCTTTTCGTATAAGTCCCATACGTTATATATTGTACAAATAATCCATGCATTTATTTTAGCATGAAGCTGGGAAGGTGATACTGGAAGGTTGCATTTCTGAGGATTATTACAAAGTACGAGAGCTATTATACGAACAATACGCAATCGTGTAATTTTCATTAAATTTTCGTATAGTGTATATATTAAAAGTTGTATTTCTATGAGAATTATAAAATTTTTGTACTTTATTCGTTTATGTTTTATCAACCGATCTTCCCGTAAAATATGTGTTTAATCAAATTTTCCTAGAAATTGTTACAACTAATATTTGAATCTTTAAATTATTTACAGTATCAGTGGGCGGTAAGCGCACGTATACGAATTTGAACATTTATTGAACCAATAAAAGTCTATTTTTTGTAGCTGAAATAATGCATATTTTTGAAACTCAAAAAGAAACATATTGGTGTAAAAAACTGGAAAAGAACTAGTACAAAAGAGAGAAAGAGAGAGAGAGAGAGAGAGAGAGAGAGCTAATGCGGCTATAATTATATAGTTCAACTCTGTAGATCTTAGATCTACAGAGTATTCAGGATATCTGATCTTTCACGGAATATATTTTGCATGTTACGTTATAGCTATGTTTGTTGAGCGTTCACGTATACTGTAAATGTTGTTCTATCTTCATCGCTTATTATATGCGAAAGGAAGATAGAATGACGTTTAAACTACGTCCAAAGCGATCGTAGCTTATGCTATACATGTTTTTAAACATGGCGTCGAGGTAACTCGTACGTCCTTTTGAGTGCTCTCTCTCATAATTCTTTGTGTATAATCGACAAAAAATTGAGTAAGTTATAAAAATTGTTAGATTATCTGTGAGTCCACAATATTCTAATAATTTTAGTTTTCATACAGTTTAGAAAATAACTTGATGTTTAATTGGTTATGAAATGATTTTGTCTCTAACTAGATCATGTAATACACATTCAAAATTATATATTAAATTATTATCTAATTAATTAACATGTCATTTTTTGTTCATGTTTTGTTTCAGAATGTTCTTTAAATATTCCCAGATAATACTTGTGACACACACATATAAAAAATCTGTCTTGGTTCTTAAAGACTTATTATACATTATATGAGATCAGAATAAATATTAACAACATGAAGAAATATTACCAAGCTGTTCTTGTTATAACAGCAGTGATAAGCCTCATATCCTTGCTCATCTATAGGCATCAATACAATAAGCTGAGATATGTCCTAGAAGTTTTTAATTACTTTGGCAAATATGAACCAAGAAGAGCCAATAGCAGTTGTATAAACTTTAATTCATCATTTACTGCATTCAATTACAAATTCGACGAACCGATTCCTTCTTGGCAACGTCTGGAAAATGATTTGTATATATATTCTGCGTATGATATTAATTACCAGTCGTATAAAGAAATACGAGCAGTTGGAGTTGGGATTGTAACTAGTATCTTAAATATGCAATGCCTTATTTTCTTCGAGAGTGAAAGTAAACCTATATTAGGAAATTTTAACTTTATACCCATTACTAAGTACTCTACAACTGTGAAAGATTCAGCGTACAGAGGATATCATTTTGTTTGCATGTACAGTAGCAATGAAACTCCTACTGGAATAACATTTGTCACCAAATCTAATAGATATCTCAATTATGCACCTATTCTTCCTATAAAAACGCTACCACAGAACCTGAGTAATGATGGCAAGATGAGTGTGTGTGTGATGCAGCCAACAGTGAAATCAATACTGCCTAATACAAAGGATATGATGGGTTTTATTAGTTTTCATACATTGATTGGAATGGATAATTTTATTATATATGATAATGGAATTCCGAACAAATTTAATAGCAGATTAAAGGAAATGGCCAATGATCCATCTTCCTTTCCAAAATTTACATACACTGTTATACCATGGAACTTTCCTTTTACGGAGATCGATGAAACGTTCACGAAAGAAATCGCAGTTGTAGATTGTTTATATCGTTCATATAACAGTGTCGCTTACTCTATTATTCTTTCGTGGAACGAGTATATAGTTCCAAGATATCATCGCACAACGATCGATTTGATATCAGACGTCAAGAAAACCGAATCTACATTCGATCGTTATGGACTAAAAGTTAAAAACTTTTGCATGCAACAGTCTGATGATAAAAAGCATGCAAATTCTACACTGACGTTGTTTAAAAAAACAAAATCCAGTACTGCTTCTAAAGATCGATTTGTTTATATATATCACCCACATGAAATATTACATGCGGAATTGCAAAATTATCAGAAAATACGTACTACGCATGTAGGACAGAATTTAATTTCTGTAAATCAATATAAATATTGCGACAACAATAAAGATATGAAAATTGTAGAAGATAGCACAATATTCAGATTTATGGAAGATATGCAAAACTCATGGATCTTCAAGAAATATCAGGAATCTTAAGATATGCTTTATGAAAATAGTGATATATATGGATTTTGACATAATTGAAATTAATACTTGTACGAACTTAGAAGTTAGCTTGCAAGCCGAAGTGACAGCATATAAATTATCGACAAGTATTTTTATTATGTTCTTATTTGAGATAAAAATATAATAGAATTCTATGTTTACAAAGTATACTGCCACCTCGACTTCTATTTTAATTAATTATTGTACAAAGTTGTCAATAACGGCTCTCAATTGTAACAATGTGCTTCTTATTCATTGTGTCTAAATTATCTTGCAATCAAGTGTACATATGCTATAAATATTTCATAATTCTTTACAGTCTTTCATATAAGGTGCCTTAATTATACACACCATATAAATGAGCTAATACAATATACTTTACACATTTTAGATTATAAGCTATAATAAAGCGTTTCTTGTTTTCAATAGCCTTAAGTTCCGATATTCTAATACTTAGAATACAATGATAAAATCGCATGTACATATTTAAGAGAGTGTGATACTTTTATTATAGAAATTACCAAAATAGTTGCATACACTCATAGTTAACGAGTGGAATCAAAGACTGTGTTAGGCTTCAACAATTTTAAATAGGTATAGCAGAAAGCTTGATTAAACTTGTTTGACGCACAATGAAAGAAAAAAAACATAATGAAAGAGGCATTATACTCCTAATAAAAATACATAGAAACTTTATTTTCAAGTGGTTTAACATATATTTGGTAAATATCTGACCCTTACATTTTTCGAACTAACAAAATTTAGAAAAGAAAAATTTACTTCAGTCGTTGCATTATAGCCGAACTTTGTAAACCAGCTTCTTCAATTGTTTTGTCTTCAGTTAGCTCCTTTGTTGGATACATAGTTAAAAGACTAAAATCCCTCAAAGCATATTGAGGTCTCATACTAGTATTGTATGTTAAGGAATATTTTTTAATCAAATTAGATAAAGAATGCAACATATATGCATTAATTTTCATTATGTTGCAATAAAGTACTTAAAAAAAAAAAGTCGAGAAAGATTGCAAAGAATATATATATGCACATTATAAAAGGATACGTTATTATATATCGTCTAATATCATTGACTGTATGCGTCAGGTTGAACTGAGCCTTTACAATACTACCGTCCACAAGACGGATTTGTATCGTTGTGGTTGGTTTTGAAGAATCCACATTTAGTTCTTTTTTCGCTTGCGCTTCGTTAGCAGCCTGGTCTGCGGGGTCTGTTGGAACTGTCATACCTACAGTAGCTGGCGATGGACTGAAACATTTTTAATATATTTGTAATATATATGTAATGGCGATGAAATATAGAGATTAGAAGAGATCTCGGATAACAAAGTGTAATCAATTTCTAATGTACCTTCCTAGCATGTGTCCTTTCCCAGAGAAGGCTTTCACCTTAGCTTTCGTCGGAACATAGGTTTCATGGCGACGATCTTCCATATCAAGTCGCAAATCTGTACTCGGTACTTGTTGACGAATCTCTGCTGGAATCTCACCTCTCTTGACGGCAGCTAAAAATTCTCTATTTTCAGGTTCGTTGTATGATCGGATTTCGCCATCGTTTATGTTAAATCCATCTTTCCATAGTTTTAATATAAAGAGACCACTTGAGCAGGGTTGTTGATCTGCACTTGTTCCCTTTACCACTATTAACATATACGACAGAAGTGTGTGAACATAAATATTATCATGTATATCAAGGTCAATCTTGTATTAAGAATAATAAGACTTCAAAAGTACCTTCACTGTCTGAACTAGTTTGACCTAATTTATATCCAGTACCACTGAATGTGTTCGGCCTCTGTTGGCCTCCCATTTTTGGTGGTTCCATTGCAAGGGATTGCTCCTGACACGACTTGAACATGTCACTGATGATATCCTTCTTCTTTCCTGGTCCTAAAACTTGCTGACCACTATGTTCAGAACCTCCGGCATAAAACGCCTGTCCCTCTTCATCTTCAGAACTGCTGTCTTTGTTCTGAAGATCACTCAATGTCCCAAATTTAGGCTTCAGCTTGGCGCCTTTAGACTCTGCTGTGTCAGACTTTGTGTTCTTCGACATCGTGTCTGTAGTATTGTCCTGTGAGCCCTCTGCTTGTTCTGTACCATCAGCAGGTTCGGTCACCAATGCAGGTGTTTCATCATTCTCATAAAAACTCGCAAGGGCAACCTGCAAAAATACCATATGCCAACATGTGTGACAGAATCGTCGTTTCGAGAAATGGAAATCTTACAGCGCATACGCTGTGTAAAGCTCCAATAATTTTAGTCTTACTCCTATCTGCTACCAAGGATACATCTCACCCATATGATTCTTGCAATTATCGTGACAAGTAATCATCTACGATTTATTGAGACGAAAGAATGGAAAGAAAGAATAACAAGGAAATGGAAAAATATAAGTATCGTGCAACAACAGAGGGTTCGAGGGTAAAGGGAACGTAGGCACCTACAGGACCTTCGAAGAATATCGACGAGTGCGATTGCAGGTTACAAAACTGGTGTCGAGAGATCATCGCGACGAAACGTCGGAGTTCTCGCGAGGAGACGTGAGAGAACAAAGCGATTCACTCGATATATCCACTCCTCGAAATCTCGAGTAAATATGCTGTCTCACCTCGAGGTGCCAAGCGGACGACTCAAGGTAGAATTGCGCTCTCTCGGCCTCAACACCAGTTACGTCTGCGAATTGCGAGACTAACTCGTCGTGGTTCGCCATTCTTCACGAATGTTTAAAAGAACTCACGAGTTATCACCAACTCTCTTTGTTTCTCTTTCCCTTGCGAATCCTCGGCGTGCGTACTTCTCGCGTCAATTCCACCCCAGTGAGGCTAACGCTCCCCGTGTTTCGCCGCTTCACGTTAATTCGCACGATCCATGTATGTACCTGTCATTCCCCTCGTTTATATGGCGGAATCGAACCGGAAGTAGAACTGCGATCGAGAAGGCAAGTTTGAATGAACAAAACGTTTTCGCGCGCTGTACATTTGCGTGCAAATTTTCCCTCTATCCCTCAATATTATATCGTAAATTAAGACCAGCGGATTGAAATGTTGGATATAAAATTGGCATCGAATTGACAAAGTTTTTTTAATTTAACTTACATTAATTAAGTTAATTAAATTAATTAAATGAATTTTAATTCAAATCTCAACTCACACGATTGTACTCATGAAAGTACTTAGATTGAAATCAAACACTATTTGTCTTCTTCAATTACTTGTCCACTTGGCAAAATAATGTTGTGCCACGTTTAATCCAGTGCATAGGCGACACATGAGTCTCCAAAGGCACACTGGCGATATACCAATTTCTTATCGCATTTGCATTCTTATCGGCATCCGCTTCGTCGTGAGGCATCGGTGAGACATATACAGGACACTCGTAGGCCTCATCATCGATTCTTTCGTCTCTGCTGAATGTGAGACGTACAGGCGGCATATCGCACCAGAATACATTCGTTAAACTTTCGACCAACACGTGTCGCTGCGTATCCCATCGAGCGCCGATTAAATGCAGACCGTGAATGTAATATGTGTCCGCACTCTCCTCGTCGTATTCGTCGCGATCGTCCTTCGTTATTTTAAGATCCAATGCGACTTGTTCGATCGACACATTGCGACGTCGTGAGAACGTGAGAAGAGCCGCGGACAAAAATCTCTTGCAACAGGACAGAGCGTCGAAGTGGATCACACTGGGTGTACCATTGTCGTGCCAATTTCGTACAAATTCTACACGCTTTGTGAGCAAGCCGATGTAACTTGACAGGTATCTAGTTACAATACTGACATCAATTGTCCGCCAGATACGCGGGACCTCGTTGTTACATATCTCTTTGGAGAAATCCTCCAAGCAATCGTTCATGATAACGTCGCCGTCTAACGCTAATCTTAAATCGTCCAAAGACCTCGCAATTGCAATTACGATTTTGTTGATCAACTCAGCTTCGTGGACGAGAATCGCATTCAACGGTTCACGTGAAGTAAGTGGATGCTTCCTCCGTATCGCACCAACGTCAAATAAGGCAGGCAGTTTGTCGTTAATCTCATCGATGGCCTCTCGTAAGCGATCCTCCATGACCTTATGGCTCGGCGATCCAACCTGATCCAACAGAGATATCGATTCCATGAATTCTCTAGCGACGGCAGCGTCCCTTGTGACGAGAGCGTTCTCGTCGACGGCGAAGGCTCCCGGCGGTGCGTCCAACTGCATATTGTTGATGTGCCTGATGACATCACGGTACTCACATCTTTGCGGTACTGCGTGCTCCGTGTGCTCGGAAAACGTGTACTCGCTATCGTCAACCACGCGAGCATTGCAGAAGGACTCCAACAGGTATCGCAGGCATCTACGATCAAAACTGTTCATAATCCTCCCGGCGTAATTGCATTCTCCGATGAAATAGAGCAGAGTGTCGAATGGTATGATCTGATCGTTATCATTAATGAGATCCTGCAATTGCCTGATGGACATTTCAAAATCCTCTTGGTCAAAATCGTACGGGATGCTCCATCCTTGTGGGCCAAAGTGTCTCCTCTCCCGGATGACCCCGTGGAAGAAGCAGAGCCCGTACAAGAGCTTGGAGAACTGTTTGTCCTTGCCGGGACATCCCTCGAAGAACTCCTTGCACTCGATGGGTTCAGACCGATACGCCTTCAGCAGACTCTGCTTCAGCTGAAGTGGGCAATCGTACGCGATCTTCACGCTGTTCTGCAAGACATTGATCGGGAAGTCCGGAGTGGAACAGCTTGAGATCCACAGTCGGAAATCTAAGGACGTGACGGACAGGCTCAGGTCCTCGCAGATCTGCTCGAGTCGCGGTATCCATCGAGTAGCGTGATGGCAATTCTGCAGAAGCACCCATCCGCCGTCCTTACGCGCTCGTTTCACAAGAAGCTCAGCCTCGCTCAACCGACCATCGCCCATAGACAGAGACACGAATTTCGAGGTGTAACCTCTGGCGCTCGCGTAGCTGGAAACGAGCGACAAGGGCGAGCTGTAGCTCGGCAGGATAAATATAATCGGCGTGAAGTAGCTAGATTCCGCGTACGATTCGGATATCTGAAGACGCGGGTACGAGTTGAACACGTCGCCTATCGTGTCCTCGATCAGTCGCATTACTTCCACGACGATCTTATCAGGTCGTATCGCCTTGACAATCAACAACTTTTGAAAGCGAGTCAGTCTGTCGACCCATGGTCTCGGTAGCAGGTGGCTGCGAAACGGCGCAATCTCGCAGTATTTCTTCCAGGCTGCGTCGTTGGAGCGAAAATCACTCGCGAGCTCGTGCAAATCTGGCAGCGTAGAACTTAATCGGCAAATCTGCCTCCACGTAGCCGGCGATAACCATTCTGGTGCTTCCTCCGAGGTTGTATCGCGCTTCTCTGCTTTGAAGGAGGTGAAGCACTTGACTTCCTCTTGCGTGACCTGCTTAGTGTCGATCAAGACCTTGACGCACAGCAGGAAGGAATACAGAAGCTTGTGCTTCTCGAACAACGACCGGCAGACGCTGGAGTGAAGGTTCCTCGTGAACGAGGACTTGAGAAACTGCAATCGCTTCTCGAGAATGACGCTCCTGTTCGAGGTCTCTATCGAGATGATGTACAGCTGGATGAACCACGAGAAGGAGAAACGGTACATATGATTCAGGTTGGAGAGAGTGTTGAGCGTGCAGAACAGCTCCGCGCAGTGATCCGCAAATTGCAAGTAGGCGTCTCTGAACTTGTTGATGTCCTTCGTCATCGCTTTAGCCGCCTCTTGTTGTCTCATGATGCCCACGGTGAGAGTCTTGGAGGAATCCAACGTGCGAATCGCATTCTCGTCCTCCAGGATGTTCGTTGTGGTCGACGAAAGAATGCTCAGGATGTTGTCCTCTTGATGTTGGAGAATCTTCTTGTTGGTGGCGTCTTGGACGCGTAGCGTCTCAAATTTCTCCTGAAGCTCCGGTCTCTCCTTCGAGATTACGATATCCAGCAGCTTGTCCCGCAGAGTCCCGTCGGGCATGGAGAAATCGATGATCGTGAGCTTGCTGAAGACGTCGGCCGTGTAATTCGGATTCGACAGCCGCGTGGTGATGTAGAATCGGAAATTCCACGAGTATCTGATCGATTTATCAGCGATGTCGATGTACCAATAATCGTCATCATTCTTATAAATATCTTTCAGTAGAATCGGCTCCAATGCGATTTCCAGTGTCTCGCCAATGTTCTCCAGCAAAACCGGCACACCATTCTCGATATTCTGTCCAATGGCGTTCATGTAATCAGCGTCCGTCAGTTTGACGATCTTCAGGTCATTCTTCTGCTCGATCCTCTTGATCCACTGATTAATCTGATTCTGAGAGTCGATGAAGAGACACCACTGCTCCGAATTCTTCAGGATCAGAGCGTTCTCTACGGCGAAGCGGTTCTTGGACAGGCCGTAAAGTTGCCAATGATTGATCTCAATCTCCACGCCTAAGATGCTCACGAAGCTGTACGTTTTGGTGTAAGGTATCTCAGAGGCTTCCATGACCTTCTTCCATTCGATCAATATCTCGTCGCGAAAGGAAGTGTTGTAAGACGCCATATAGGCCATTATTCCGCACGAGAGCAACATGTCGCCCACGAGGTTGTCGTAATCCATCTGAAGGTTGCGAGCGCACTCCATCCAACGGCTTTTCTCGCCACCCAGACTCGCGATCAGCTTCTCCGCCTTGACCAATTTGGCGGTGCATGTGGCCACCTCCGTCTCCAGGTTCAGCTTCTTCTGCAATGTTTGCCGCAGACTGTCGTGCAACGCTGCCAGCTTCGCGTTCAGCGCGGCCAAGGTTTGCCGTTTCTCGTTCAAGAACGCTTCGGCCTCGTCGCACTCCGTCTGCGTCTCGACTAGCTTCTTCTTCTTGGGTGCGACCACCTTGGCTACCTCGTCATAGGACACCATCGCGCGTACCCACTTGCAGAGGCCCTCGGCGGCGCTGGACGCCTTCGCGACTATCTGCGGCATGAAGCTGTTGTCTGTCATGTACGTTTTCTTGATGACTTGCATCACCGCGGGCGCTATGTTGTCTTTATCGTAGTCCTTGAGGTTCTGCAGGAAGTTCATGTCGCTGAGGATGCGTTTGCTCGGGCCCCAGTAGTCCGTGTACTTCTTGCCAGTGACCGGATCGATGGAGCGGTCCGGCGGAACGCCCAGCATCACGCAAACCGCCGCCATCACCAGCTTGATGGTGTCCGGGGGATTCTTCATCGCTTTCACTAGCGTAATATCGGTCGGTTTCAAGGTGTTCAAGGCGACCACCGCGTCTTCGAGGATGGGTATAGCGACGGCGAGGTCAGCCTCGCATTCGGACTTGAGAGCGCCCGCGATCTCTGCCTTCTTGTTCGCGATCTCCTCCTCCTGCTTCATGACGATCGTCGCTCGCTCCACGGTGACGTTCTCGTTCTCTACCTCCTTCATGGTGATCACCGTCTGTTGAGCGGACAATTCCAATTGAGGCTTCAAGATCGTCAGAGTGGCTTTCATCTGTTCCACCTGCTCGGCCGCCAATTCCAACTTCTCCAAGCCCGCGACGTACCTGTTGCGCGTAGCGACGATTTCCTGCTGCTTTTGCGACGTAAGCCGCGTGTACAACTTCAACATGTGCAAGAAGGCTGACGACGTCAGGTGAATCGTCCTGCCAAACGTCTCACGGTACCTCGAGCTCATCCGCCTCGCATCGTCGTGAAATCGCACGCAGGCTTTCGCCGCTCGCGCTTTCATCTCCTCTCGCACGTTCACGTTCTTCATGTGCTTTACCGCGATCTGCAGGAAGGCCTCATCGGGCCATTCTTCGTAGCAGTTCACCGTGCAATGCTTCGTCAAATTCGGGTGCGAACACAAGTACGTTCTAAACATGGTGCTGGTGGGACTGAAGCACAGCACGAAGTGCAATCTGTTCCTACACTGCTCCACAAAATACAGCATCACCGAGCGTGCGCTTAGTTCTGCGTTTCGATCACCAGCCTGAGCGTGAAGTCGTATCATTTCGATTATAGTCTGCTTATCCTCGGCGGAGAACAAGTCGGGCAGCTCTCCGGTGCTCAGCAAACAGCTGATGTCGCTCAAGAACTCATTCTTCATCTGTCGCTCGCTCATGAAGTACGTAACGTCCTTCCGCAACGCTCCGCACTCCCGCAAAACTTTCCTCAAATTGTTCTTCCAGGCATTCGCGTCGTAATAAGATTCTATGGTGGTTTCAAACAAGCTCTGCTGCTGCATGAAAGCGGCAAGGGCGGTCATGGATTTCCTGCCGGATCCTATCATGGATATCACTAGTACGTTGCCACCGGGGGTGCTGAGGATCCTGGAAATTTTGATCAGGAACTTCAGCATGTAGTGAGACACGACGATGTCGAGTTTTTTCTTCGCGCCAGCATTGTATTCGTCTAAATGAGCGAGAACTTTGTTCTTCAACGTCTCCATGGAGCCGATTTCCTCGTACCGTTTACCTCTACCACTTCTCTCCGTGTCCATGAAGTTGCCGAACACAAAATCGCCGAAGCTGTCCTTGGTGATCTGACCATTCTCAAATTTAGGCAAGTGGTCGAACGCCATCTCGAACGAGTCCTTGAAATTGCTCTTCACCGCGTCGCGGGTCCTGAGGAACAACCACTCTTTATCGGCCTCGTTCAACATACGATCGCGGAACACACGCAGGATCTCGTGCACCCATAATCGAATGAACGTGATCTTCGTCTCCACCGACTCCTTCTGGATCAACCCACAGCCGGTGATCACTCTCGACACGTCTCTCATGTCGAAAAAGTAGCACAACTTGTTAGGCACTGGTCGCAACGTCTTCATCACGGATTTATACACGTCGATCGTCGCGTTTACCATGCTGTTCACATTTGCTGTAACGTCCGCTGCAAACAGGTTCTTCTTCAAGTTGGCAAGTAACACATTGGAATAGATCCTAAATATATTCTCCGTCGTAGGAGCCGGAATCGTGTAGGTATTGAAGTGCCTCAAGAATCTCAGAGGTACGTCTCCACCGATTTTTTCCGTAGTAACTGCCAATACGAATCCAACGTCCTGCACGGAAACCTTGGTCAATTCGCTCGCGTCGTAGCAGTAACTGTAGCTGAGGAGTTGTCGCAAGAATTCGAACACCGGTCGCGCCTCCGGTCGCTGCACGTGAGCTCCGCTCACGTCGTCCACGAAGTTCACGCAGTATCGACCGCCTACCGGCCCATAATTCGTGCGTCCTATTCTGTTCAGCTTGGAGAGCAGCAAGCTCCGCGTTCTACTCACGCTGAGCATGGAGCTGAAGCTGAAGTGATTGGACAAGCAGTTCACCGGTAGTTTGTTGCTCAAGAGATCGCGCATCATGCAGGTCTTCCCGACCGCGACATCGCCGTACAAGAGGAACGGCTTCCGGTGTTGAATGTGCTGCGAGAACAATTGCTGGTACTTCACACTGATGATGGTCGGAACATGAATCTGGCTGAAGCTACACATCTCCGGTATCTTTTCGCTCTTCAGCGAGTCGCCGCAGTATCTCCAGCTGCCGACGCCTTTGAAGATGTACAGGTTGTCTTGAATCAGGCCCTCGTTAGGCAACGTTACGTCGAAATGCCTGATGCTGTCGGGCTTCGGATACTTCGCGTTCGCGCCGTTCCAGAAGGACACGCAGAAGGCGTTGAATCGAGTCTGCGAGTCGTCGATCAAGTTCCCACCCAGTCCCCAAGCGATGGCCAAAATCAAGGCAGCTTGCGCCCACACGACGAAGTAATTATCTTTTCCCGTGTCGTCAGCGGCGTTCTCGCAGGCGTCTCTCAACAGCATCTCGAATAGGTTCAACGTCGACACGACGAGATGCAACCCACGAGTCATCGGCACACCGGCGTTCTCCCTCAGGAAATTCAGACATGGGTCTATCGCCCAATCGAACAGAGCACTCAGCACTTCTTCGTAACCGCTGTAAACTTCGTGCCTCGCTATATGAGACACCACGTACGGTCTCCAGCCGATGGAGTGAGCGTCCATGTGAATGATCCCGCAACGTGATATTAAGCCGGGCGAGACTTCCGTCAGGCTCACCGTCTCAAAGACGACGGACGTCGACTTCGTCATGGCCAGATGTTCGCCGGAGGCCAGATGCAGCGTCTTGTTCTCGTCCAGAGCTGTGTACAACTTCTCTGTCCACACATCGTTCAAAGCTCCATCGAATACCAACCACTTGCGGTCCGTCGAGGGATCTTCCGCGAAGCGACGTAGCACGACGGTGCACAAACCGTCCCTCCAAACTCCAGATTCTTCACGGATGTGCCCGAAGAGCCCGTCGCTATTCACCACGCCTGGAAGGACAGTCTCGAGTTTCACCGTGGCACCGAGCTTGCTTCTCTGATCGCGCAGCAACGACAACGTCTCGGCGAGGGTATGCAGTAACTCCGTCTTTCCGCTTAAAGGCTCGCCGACGAGTACGAGAGCGCGGTGGACGTACATCAGCTCGATCGTCTGTATGGCTTTCAATTTGAAGATGTTGTGCAACGTCAGGCGCCTCTTTGCGCACACGTCTTCGAGCGCGCTCGAAATCGCCGAGTGATCGAACGGGAGCATGACACTCTCGGGGAAGACGTCTTGCATTATATCCTGGAAGATAATTACATCGGTGTTACACAACTGAGGGATGTTTATGTCGATGATCGAGCGTAGCAGCAGCGTGTACTCGTTCTCTTCCGACAGGTTTCGTTTCATGCTGATCGCGGTCTCGATGACAGTCTTCAGTGACGACAGGCCGAGGTTATAACAATTCTTTTCCTCCAGGTGCTCGGATAATAACTTGTAAGTGAGCGTTAATTTCATCGCTAAATCTTTCGCGTGGAGAAATCCACCGGCGAAGAGCACGACCTCAGCGATTCTGCCGACATCCGGCACCATCATCGCGACGGGACGGAAGAGAACTTTCAGATTACCAGGAAGGTTACTATGCCTTGATCGTTCCGAATTGATATTCACGCACACGTTGCCGGAGGCGTTCAAGTTCAAAACGCAGCCGTCGAGGTTCACGGTCTTCAGTCTGGACGACACCGCTTGCTTCATCTGTGAGAGATTCTGAGCGATCGCTGACAGCAACTCGAGCTTCAGTCCGTCGAAATTCTCCAGGCAGATCCACGCGCCGCAGGAGACCGCTCCTTTCAACGTCTGCGCCACGTATTCGTAGGAAACATCGTGGCTGCAGCTGACGAGGTAAAACGGCTTCGCCAAAGTGCTCGTCAAGCTTTTGATCGCCTCGGTCTTACCGGCGCCAGTTGGGCCTATGATAATGCTGAACAAATGATAACGATACGCTTGCATCACAGCACGGAAGCATCTGTCAGTCAAGGGTGTATTAATGACGACCTGCTGATAATGGCTATACTCGTAACCGTACTCGATTGTCGCATTGAATACCGATACCTCGACAACCTCGTCGTAACGATAATACCTCAACTGTGCGGCCCATTCAAAGTCCCTTCGCTCGGTCACGTCTCTCTCCAACAGCAGTCCCACGATATCTTTGTGGACGGACACGATAATGATCAACGACATCAGTAGGCTCCTACTTCTTCGCGCTAAACTGTTTCTTAGCTCGTTCGTCATCAAAATTACCCAATCGGTGTACCTTGTGGACAAGGATTTTAAGGCTGCGGTGTTCAACGACGTGAGGCACTCTTCCACCGAGGAAGTCCAATGCAGTTGAAGTCCGCAAACGATCGTCATACTCGCGACATTATCAGCGGCGACTGGTATCGGATTTTTTTTACCACTTGAAGAGTGATATCGCGCAACACTTCCGCGAACCGCATTTATCATCTCTCTTTCGAGCTGAATCAGCCACTCCTCCTCGCGCTCGGTGTCAGTAGGCATTGGGATGTTCCTTTCCAAGTGTAAGCTCTCCCCGTAGCGCCCGATGATGCACTGAATGCAGTTAGATTTGTCGACTTTCAATCGTTCTATACCAGGGAAACACTTCTTCACAACCGTGTGACGTTTCATCATGTCGGACTCGAATAATATTTCCCGGATCTCGGAGTTCTCGAGGAAGAAGAACCTCGGGAAGGACAGCTTCTTCAGATCCAAGTAGTCCTTCACGCCTTTGCTGGCTTTCTCCAATTTCCCGTTGGCCTGGTTCAAGATCTCTAGTAAATCCGTCGATTCCTTGATTCCTTGGTAACTCGGGTTCTCTGTGAACCTGTCGTTGACGTCTTGCAAAATTCTCGTTGCTTCTAGATACATCGCAGCCTGCTCGTCCAAACGCGCCGCTATCCCCGGGTAAGAGAATATCAGATCCAGCAGGAGTTTACGATATTGTATACGCGTCCATTGATCGAGGCTTTCTTGGATCCTCGTGAGGACAGCGAGGAAGTCGACTACGCGCGATAATATGGGCTTGACGAAGTGAGACGCTCTCATCTCTTCGATCTTGATGAGCTGTTCTCGCAGCAGCGTTTCGATGTCGTCCACGTGTTTGAAAACCACCGTGCCCGACCGCGCGTCGCTCGTCATCTCGAACGACACCGGCTGCCACTCTCTGATCATCTCAGCCAACTCTTGCTGAAGATGGAGCTCCTTGTTGGCGCCCAGACTTATAGCCTTGTACTTGTCGATATTGTCCATCAGGTTCATGTCGATCATTTTCTTCAGGCTCGTCCCGGCATTCGGTGTGAGATCGAAGTTGCATATCGCGGACATCTCTCGCCAATGGCGCAACTCCAGAGCGGGATTGCACATGCAAACTGCAAGTGGCAGGTATACCTTGAACTCGTTGACGTTGTTCAGCGCTTGCCAGGCCAGTTTCAATGGCGCCGGCTGCTGCATCGGGTCGGGATCGTCGGCGATGCCGGCGAATTTGTAGGACTTGTTCGCCGTTACGTCCATCTTGATGCGTGACTTCATTGTCTTGCTCATTTCCGTGATCTCGTCGAGAAAGCTCATGGTCTTCTTCTCGATGACGGAGGCGTCCAGACACTCGAACGGACCGTTCAGCCACACGGAATTGTCCCGTTGCCATTGATGGATAGTGGATATCAGCGTGTAGAACGGCACGATCGTTTCATTCAGCTCGATAATCTTCGGGAATTCCGTCTCGGGGAACTTGAAGAGCCTCTCTTCCGAGTTGATGACTTGCATCTTGCTGTTCATGCGATCGTATCTCTTGATCAGGTCCTTGTAGTGCTCCACATACTCCCCAACTGCGTTCACATCGTCCATGTTGTCCAGGATGACGAGCTGCGGAAACATCGCGTCGACCTCCGAGTTCAGCGTGTTTATCCGTCGTTGAAGATCCTCCTCCAGCTCGCTCTTCATCGCCTCGCACAGCGTGTTGTTCTGCGCGAATATCGGCTGAATGTCACACAGCCAATTCACCGTGGTCTTGTTCAATTCGACGTGTTCGTCGCTTAACACGACGATGTCCGATAATTTGCACAGCATGTAGATCGACTGTCGTATCTGCAGCTCTTGCTCCTTCATCGACACCTTCGAAGCGTGCGACATGTACTCGCTCAACTGTATCAGTGATTCCGCATCCTTCGGAATGTTCAGCGCCGTGGATTTCAAGTCTTCGAAGTCCGAGCAGATGGAACGATTGAAGTCCTGGTGGTATCTCACGAGTTCTATCGTGAGCATGTTAATAACATCGCAGCAGATCTGCCTCAGGGACTCCTTGGCGCTGATCTGTTCCAATCTGCCTATGTTGTAGTACAAATTGGACAGCATAAAGTTCGTCTTGCTCAAATATTCTTTATACTTGTGTATGTACGTCAGATATACGTCGAAGTTCGGCTGCCTAGAAGTTAACGAGCGTATTCGGTTCCTGGTGCTCGACGCGCAAACATCGCCGAATTCTTCGGAGACGAGCGCCACGTGCTCGTTCATAGGCTGAAACAAAGCGTCCAGTATATCTTGTAAGTTGCGGTGAGACTCCTCGACGAACCAATCGGGAAGCGTTATCTTGATATACTTTACTTCCGCCTTGATGTCCAGCCATTCTTCCAGAGGCATCAGATCCTGCGCGATAACCTCGATATTCCTGATAATATCGTGGTATATCGAGAATACTTCTTCTATGTCTGGCCGAGTCACAAGCTGGTTGTCTTCACATACTAATTGAAACTCAATTCGGGGGCAGGAATGAGCATCTTTCATGATGCTTATTATGTGATCGATCGATTTCATCATCACACTGAGAATTTGCTGCACGAATACGTTTGTGAGGCATCGCATAAATTGTGGCAAATATTTCGCGGAGATACTTCTTAACATTCTCGACTTCTGCACAGCCTTGAAGGTTTTGGTGTAAAATTTGTTGGTGATTATCAAAGCACCTCTCTTTATATCTTGGAGGACCATATCTTGGAAACTGTGCAGTGTTAGCATCCCTATCTCATAGTAACGTCTGAAATCACAAATCACTGTAGGCAAAATACGATGTGCTGTGTTCATAACATGTCTGATTATTGGATAAGACAGGTAATATCTCTTGGCAAATAAACTACAGCGTTTTAAAAATATTGGGCGGTTATACATTGCATATTCTTCAATGACATTCTGTTTCAATCCAGAAGAGATTTCAAACTCTTCACCAGTGGTATGTTCCCTCTTGTAAACTTTGCAGGATAATATGGATCTCAATATAAAGTCTTTCATATTTTCACTGTATATTTTTTTTATTTCATCCAATACCGAGTTTATAAAGAAAGAGTGTTTTCTTCTGTCTCCATAGGGTATCAAATCCAATATATTTCTTTCCCATTCTGCAGAGAATTCAGAAATATAAATATCATTTATGTAATCTCTTATTCTGATTTGTTTCGGTGAGTTGGAGTTTGAGTATTTAATTACTGTAGTATTTGATTGCCAAATGTTCCAATTCATATTTATAAGTATATTTCTGTCATAATCTCTTAGAGTCTTAATTGTCTCGCTAGATTTACTTTATCAATGCAGAAAGCGTCAATGCATTCTAGATTCAGTTGATCGTTTTATAAATAAATTTTAATTTTTAATTTTACAATATTCTAATAGCATAAACCAAATAAATTTATTCGTTATTGTAAATAAAACAACAAAAGAATCTAGAATATAATTATTAATTGTTACAGATTAATCAACACCACATTTAGGACCCGGAAACAAACTTCTTGGATACGGAACATGTTTTATCAATATAATGAACAGTCAACATGCATGTGTAAAGTGCTTTCAGATAATAACACAACCATCTTTTGCTGAAATTAGGATACAAATCTTACTTTTCTATGCGGGAAATTATAAAATTAAATATTTAAATGCCGTGAAATAGCATGGTAGCGTATAAAATATATTATGCTCCTAATTTAACATGTTATGTATATTATATATTATAATAAATTTTTTGATTGTAACTTAATTAAGTTCATACCGCATATACTATCATACCTTAGGACAATATGTGTAATCTGCTACGTTGTTTATCACAAAATTATCATAGAAACCGATTCAGGAGTTAATAAAAACATTTAAATATCTGCTATTTACTCAAAAACAGCTGTAATAGCAACTGACCTGCCTAAGCTGGCGTCATCTAGCAATGATAAAGGAAAGCTTGTCTACGGAAGGTTTGAGTCTGAGCTAAATATGGTTTAAGTCTGAGCTAAATTAGTTTGAATCTCGGTTGGCGACGTCGAAATTTAGTTCAGAAGTTCCCGCTACGAGTCGTTTTCAAGAAATATTTGAGGTTATATTTAAGACTTCCTTCAGTTTATCTTCAGATGGTCTGTAGCCAATAAAATAATCCGTGCAGCATCTAAAGATAGATATAAGGAGGCCTCAAATATAAGGCCTGACTATGAACTACGGATATTAGTAGCATAACTCAAGTACGAAGTAGCTATATTTTATTTTTCAATATTGCATCACAGAACAACGTATTAGATAATTTTGTGTTTTTATGTTTTTACGTTTTAAAAAAAATAAAAATTTCTTTGACTTGATGGATTATATTAAATAATTGATCTCTTAACGGAAAAAAGAGACAGAATTTAATGTCAGTTAATTGACTGTTTATCTTATATTCCTAGTGAAAAGTTATAAATATGAGCAATATTTATATACAAGAACCGCCCACGACGGGCAAGGTAAGTTTAAAAATAAATTACTTTTAATTTAAATAAACCATTTAACAAAAGATTTTTTAGCTAATAGCTGTTTCTGGTAAAAGTGTAAATCAGTTAATATAAGAATGTAGCATAACCAAGTGGTTGTTTGGTTCTTGGTATTATATTAAATATTAAATAAAACAACGAAACCGCGTTTGTCTTAGTTTTTATTTATTTTCTCTTTTTCTTCATTAATAATGTCAAATTCAGGTGGTAATGAAGACAACGGTCGGTGACATAGATTTGGAATTATGGACGAAAGAAGCACCTAAGGCTTGTAGAAATTTTATACAGCTTTGTATGGAAGGTTACTACAATGGCACAATTTTTCACAGAGTTATAAAAGGCTTTATAGCTCAAGGTGGAGATCCAACAGGAACAGGAGAAGGTGGTGAAAGCATATATGAATATCCTTTCAAGGTATTATTATATATTATATTATATTCTTATATTTTTGTACCTTTGTATTGTTAGTCTTAGATTAATCATTGCTTTTCTGTATTATTTATTTGACTGTATTATTCATTCACAGGATGAATTTCATACTAGGTTACGGTTTTGCCGGAGAGGCTTGCTTGCCATGGCCAATTCTGGAAAAGATGATAATGGTTCCCAATTTTTTTTCACTCTTGGTTCAACACCAGAGTTACAAAATAAGCATACCATCTTTGGTAAAGTTACTGGAGAGACAATTTATAATATGCTCAAATTGGAAGATGTTCTTGTAGATGAAGTAAGTACATATATATGTATAATATTTATATATTAGAAAGTATATATGTTATCTTTTGGTACATTTATAAATTATTTAATTTCAGAATGACAGACCTCAATATCCCCAGAAGGTCTTAAAAACAGAGGTATTAAATAATCCTTTCCAGGATATTATTCCAAGAGTAAATCTTGAGAAGAAGGCAGACAGCAAAGAAAGCAAGAAAGATACGAAGGCTGGTGTAAAGTAAGATCAACATTGCTTCAAGTAATATTAGACATTGTTTCTATAAATTTGCAAAATTTTTAGGAATTTCAAACTATTGTCGTTTGGTGAAGAGGCTGAAGAAGATGAGGAAGAATCGTCAGTTTTAAACAAACAATTTAGCAGCAAAGGAAAGTCAGCGCACGATTGTTTGTCTGATCCAAAATTAAGTGCACAGCCTGTAGTTGAACCAGTTGGGCCGCCAAGTAAGAAATTCAAGGAGGATCAGGATAGTAGTTTGGAGAGTGACAGTGAGACGCGTACTCCAGAAGAATTGGCCGCTCTGGCGAAGGAAAAAGAGTGAGTTTCTTGTAGAAAGTAAATATATTACTATGTAATGTGAAATAATTATTATCGATATTATGGAAATAATATCACAATGTAATAACAGGGCTATGAAAGAAAGAATAAAAAATAAGTTAAGAGACTCTAAAAAGACTTCGCAATCGAAGCCAAAAACTGAAGACTATAAAGTTAAGAAGGAAGAAACGAATGAAAATCAGGAGATAGAGGAATATTATCTGGGAAAAGATCGGGAGGAAGAGCGAAAGAAAATGGCGTACGTAGACACAAACAGAATCATATTTGTTTAAAATAGAATACAATTATAAGTTATCATTAATTGATTCTGAACGATTATAAGTACTTGATATTGACCAAAATGTAATATGTAGAGAGGCGATCAGGAAAGAGATACGCGAGCTGAAACGCGATGTGCAGAACGAAAAGCGAGCGAAGGAGGTGGAACAACGCAAGCAACAAGGCGGAAAGGACGACAAAGAGAAGTCCGAAATAATGAAGGAATACATAGAAACCCAAGAGAAGTATAAGAAGGCGAAGGCGGAGATACCTAAAAAGGGCAAGGTACGCGAGGACTTCACGATGGAGTTATTGAAAAAATTTAAAAACAAGCTCCAAAATGCTAAGGAGCAACCCGCGGATTCCGACAAGAAAGAAACGATTGAGAACGACGAAGACGACGATTCGCGCGACGAGTCTTGGATGACGCACGCCTTGCGTTGTGAGGAAAAGGCACCGGTGCTCGCGAAGGACGCCAGTACGAAGGACGACGATTGGTTCGAGATCTACGATCCCCGAAATCCGTTGAACAAGCGACGAAGAGGCGAGAAGTCTAATAAATCCAGAGAGAATAAAGATGGCAAGAACCATTCTCGTCGGGAAGATCACAAGTGATCTGTAATTAGCGTACGATAATTAAGCGATTATTTTATTTGATAAGTGAACGATTCACGGATGTAACGAGTGGATCATGGATATATAGCAGCTCCGTGTAAATTATGTCTTTACAAACTCGAAAATACATTATTTCGCATTTGGTGTAATCGCTTCGCTATACCGAACGCGATGTCGATGTCTTAGCCGGCGGCGGAGACGCTCTCGTCGTTAACAAGCAGTTCTCTCTGAAAGGTGCTTCAATTTGCTCTTTTCGCTGCTCGAAGCGTGGGAATTGACGCACCAAAGAAAGAGAAGCGACTTTCGACTTTCGACAAGGGAGACTTTCGCGCCGGTCCCGAATCGATTCACAGCGCGACGACTTACAGTTTGCCTTATCTTGGTGCGGAGATACTGTGCTCCAAGAGCGTTACTCCACTATTTGTGCATCAAGTTAGTCACGCTCAACTATTTCTCTCTCAATGCGCCGCGATTTATGCTTACCGACTCGTTCCCTTGTTGTCAATAGCTTCTGCCAAGTAGCACAGCAGATTGCGAGAGGCTGACAAAGAGAGAGAGAGGGGGGGAAGAGAGAAAAAGAGAAAGAGAGAGAGGGAGAGAGAGAGAGAGAGAGAGCGGAAACTGGTGATTAAGATCCCGGAATTTATTTTGAAAAGCTAATCGCTCCTCGACAGTCGCGCGTTGTCGTGTTTCGCGAACGGTGATCGCGTAATATCGCAAGCCGGACGGACGGCAGAAGGCAGGAGCGGCGCCTCGCGCGTTGCCTATGCAAATACGCCGCCGATTGTCGCAGTCTTCTTCCACGCGTATTATAGCGCGATAAGGCGTTGATATGAAGCGCCAACATGCTCGTTGGCGGATTCAGTTGATCTGTTGACCGCGACCGATGCGTATCACGCGTTTTATGTAACTTCGCACTGCCGAACGCGACGTCGAGCGCGAACGGCTCATCTGTGCGGTGGAGACGCTCTAAGCTCCACGAAGAACAAGCGACTCTTCTTTGAAGGGTGCCTCTCTGGAAAGGTTTTCCTTTTTTCTATCGGAAGCGTGAGGGTTGATGCTCCAGAGGAAGGATAACTTTGTTTAAGTGACAAAGTTGAAGCTGACTGATTGTAGCTTTGCGCATGTAACGGGCTCGAGATAGGAGACGCAATGTTGAAAATGTGCGAGCGTAATGGCGATTAAAATTGTTATTCGCGGGAGTTTGAGGATTGTGTGATGCAGTCAACGACTTAGGGAGCGTCGAGAGATATCCGAGTGGTGCGCGACTTGAACGAAGTTTCGAGAACGAAGCGACGCTGCGATTAGCTAGTTACTTTGTGAGCGAGCCTACGTGTATGAGATCCTCGAAGGAAAATGCCAACGACGCCTCTGAAGATAGACACACTCGGTGAGAATCTCCATCGATGACCTGATATCGTTTCGAGTACGCTGAAACGCGCTGGCGTTTAGTTTCGTTATCAGCGCGGCTGAATAATAGCGCATATCGTGAGAATGACGCGAGGCAAACGCCGTTAATTGTCATCGCGCACAAATGCAAACACCAGGCGCTTCAGTAATTATTTCTCGACGATTAGTGACGCCTCGTTTGGATCTCTGCGCGGTGAGGACGAGGGATTTTACCAATGGCGTTTCCTTGAACGTTCGATCGAAAGATGTAGATTATATAATCAAATTAATGGTACAAAATGTAAAATGTAAGAGAGAATATGTAAAAATATGTGGAGGAGAGCCACATGAGAGTATTCTTGAAAATAAAAAAGAAATAGATTGAAGATAAAAATGCGTGAGAAGTGTTCCTTATAGCGATAATATCGAGGCGAAGGATATATTTTTGTACTTATTACATGATTTGTCGTATCTTTCTTCTTGCCGCTGTAACGAAGAGGAGTGAGAGGGGCGAAAGAAATTTTGCAATAAACGCGGTGCTCGATGATCATTAGCCGCGCTGTGTAGGTAGCAATAAGAGGAAACACCGCCTTCACAAAGGCGCGCCGGCACATTCACTCTGTGCAATCGCGTATTCTTCTTTAATGTAGTTCATTTAATCGTGTGACGGTACCGGTGCACCGCTTTCGCAGGATAGACTCGTTTTATTTTTAAGTCGCCCGCGACTCTTAGCGATCCGACCACGTGTGCGTCGCCTACGTCGTTCTTTCTGCGCGATACGAATTTTCCTTCACGTGAACAAAGCGCAATGCGACGATGACTATTATAGTCTTTCTTAAACCTATTTTTAGGAGACACGCAGGGGATGACGTTTCGAACGATACCGGACAAATTTCCGGCTGCGCTCTCACTAGCAGCGCATCCTGCTGCAATTCGATCGAGTGTTTGAAAAGTCTTCTCAATGAATATAAAATGTGTTTCATAGAGTACTATTTTTTTTGTCATTTTTCACTTGCGAAATCCTGGCGCGATAACACCTGAAGACGATCATGCGCAATTTTACATAAAGAAAAATAGCCGCTGAGAAAATTGGTCATTCAGTTTACTCTCTTTTTTCTTAAGTAATTGTTATTTTTAACAAAAAAAACATTTTTTTTCACTAATTTCAAAATATACTCATCGCAGATCTTTTAAAACAGCTCATTATCACGCATTCGAAAGAAGAATTTATTAACTCTTGTTAAGAATGTTATAAAATTTATATTCTGTATAGGAAAAAAACAAATAGAATTTTTTTTGTTTTAATTTAATATTCTTGATCGAAGTACTACTCGACTTGCTGGATTCAAAATATATTTTGAGTAATTTTGATGCTTATGATAAACCGATATGATGGATACGGAGATGTATAAATGTATGTAACACTTGAGACAAATAATATTTACTTGAGTGCGATATATATTTTTCTGTGCGCGCACTCGTACAATCAGTCATAAAGAATATTATTTATCGGCGGTGCGCGATAACTTATCTTCGTTAGCGCGATTCTGTAGATTGGGTCATCGTCTTGTCTCGAGACGTGAAGGTGGGACTGATGACCTCGTGATGATCGCTCAATTCGATCTGAATTTCGCGGAATTCGCTCCCCGCGCTCTCTCCCACGTGTTCATCAAGTGGTTGTGCGCGCGTAATCTCTCGTCGCTCGTTTTCACTTACACGTGTCTTACTTCTTTAAATAGACAATCCGTCGCGGAGGTTCTTAAACTTTTTAGCAACTTATCTCTGTCGAATGTGTTGGACAGTTTAGATACGCGTAGGGGTTTATTGATATAGCTTCTGGCTAATTGGCATATCGCCGCTCATTCGAATAAGGAGATAAATTATTATCGTTTCGGGAAGTACGAGGTAAAAATTTCCTTTCGCAAAAATATTTGATATACGATATGTTTATTTATTCTGAGACGGTGATTTCTTTTGTCGTCAGACAAATATATATATAGAATTTTTGTAATATAATGACGAATGCCCGCGAGAACTAATACGAGAAATTTCAAAGAGCGATTCTTCATTAAAAAATTTCTCTATCAATATAAGATCGATTTTATTTTCTTTTTTCTTTCTTAAACGAAAGCGTTTAACGAAAGCGAAGATATAAAGTTTTTTCTTTAGAAAGGTACAACACAAAATAAGTATCTCGTATATCAGCGTTACACTTTAGCAAAGCGGTGAAACATGCGGGGGATTTTCCATTGTTTTTCACAGTCTGTATACGCGCAACGTATGAAAGCGAAAAGTGTGCCTCGTGTGACACTTCTACTGGAGATAAGCGATAAGGAGCTATACTTTGTTACGTGCGTTAAATTCGATATTTAACGAATCGACGTCGCTTATTCGTCAATTAATCGACCCAGCCGATTTTCAATAGCGAGTTTTGATCGTGGACGAATTGATAATCGAATTTGTCTCTAATAAGTAAAATCAGTCAAATAGCAGGACTACTGGTCCCGCTCCATCCAGGCAGAGAGACAATGCGCGAGAGACAATGACACGTTATTTCGACGATTTCGACAGAAGACGGCGCTTTGCCGCGAGAATGGCGTCGAAGATCGCGTTGTAAGGTGCCTCTGAGATTACTACGATTATGCACGCTGGTGATATTCCTGCCCTCCATTCTGATCACCGGGCCGCTGTACCTGAGGTATCACGTGTATTCCGAACAGCTGTATCCTCTGACAATATCGGATCAGAGACTGATAGACGCCAGAGTGTCGACCACTTGGTGCCAAGTAAGATATTTCGTTTCCGAGGGTTCTCCTCATTTTCGCAGGTCTCGATCATCGGAATGATTCTGAATAATTGAATCGGAATAATTGAAAGAAATTAATAATTATAAAAACGGAATAAAAGATCGAGTGGTGTGCGAACATTTCGATGGGTTTCTGAAAGATATTGTGGCTGATCCAGCTTTATGGCAGCTCTTACAAATATGTGGATATATAATATTCCGTTGGATAATGGAAAACAATGGCGATTATTTGGTGGGGTGAATAAATCGTTTATAATAAAACCACTCGGTCCATTTCTGTAGGGATCAAGAGATCCGTCAAAACTTTTGCACTCACCTAATATAATATTATGAATAAAATAAAATTGTTGTTCTCCAGTCTGGTCGAGACCACCGCGTGTTCAATTATCGTGGATTGTCACTATTAATGTTTCTTTTTTTTTTTTTATAAAAAGAAGATGATAGAATGAAATAAACAGAAATCGCTCACTGTCCGTAGAGTCAACTGATCAAAGCTAATGCCACGTTCAACGCGTATCTGATGAGCGGCGAGCCCGCGGTGGAGAGCGAAGCGCTGCCCGTTTCAATGACAAGGCAGTTGATCCTGCAGGACGACATGAAGGAATACTGGGGATTTTATCTGCTGCGCGGCAGCAGCGTCACCGTCTCGACCTGTGTAAGGTAGAATCGTGGAGACTCGGCTTCTCTCGCTCCTTCATGAATCGCTTCACACGAATTTTCCGCGACGTGTACACTATCGCAGAGAACACGGACGAATCGTCAAGTATCTTATACCTTGAACTCGAGGAATTGGTCCTCCGATTAAAACTCATTTCAAAATTAACGCGTCGGGAGTGAACGTACGGTATGACGTACGGACGTTATGCTTTACAGTTAGAGAGACTAATTTATTAATTTAATAACATCATACGACCGACACGTTCCTACGTTCGCAGATGGCCGGGTGCTTCTTTGACGATAATTCGTGGGCACAAGCACCTGCACGAGTGCGCCTTCATCGGCGACGACAGCAGCGAGGAGCTCGAGGAGCTTCTCGAGACCGCTCAGGAACAAGGATTTCTTACGATGAACGCTACGACGGAAGTGCGTCTTTTCTCTTTCATCTTCTTTTACCCGTAATTAGTATATAACCTTTCACCTTTGCGCGATCTTTGCGGAACACACAGCAGAATCGGCAGGAAAAAGCTGCCGTGTGATTGCTCTTTGCAGCAAATCAGGATTACTTGTTGTTAATAAGAATACGAACGCGTTGAAGTTTTCAAAGAGTCTCGATCCTTTGAAAGTGAAAGACGAATTAAACGTGCAGAGATAAAATATTATTTCGTGTACAAACGCATCGCTTTGCAATAATCAGTTCCTCGATTGTCGCAGGCGTCGAGCCTCAGCAACGTACCTGAAAAAATGAAACGAGCAGGCCAAGACGTGCACTTTCATCACGAGGGCAGCGCTCAGCGCTCGAACGCTTCCGAATCCATCGGGTATTCGCATCAGTCTGTCGGCAGCCACGAGTTGGACGCTAAAGCGTTGCGAAATATACTCACTCAGATCCTCGCTAAGACCCTCGACATGAAGAAGAAGAAAGAGAACCCACATCACCATTACAAGAGCGTGTTCCGGGAGTCCGGCAATATCGATAAATTCGATAAATCGACGACGGTCGCCAGCCCGAGACGCTCTGAGATCTCACCGGTTCAGCCGCCTTCTCCTCCTCCTCCTTCTTGGGGAAAACCGATAAGCAGATTTGGTAATCGTAAAGAGACATCAGAAAGTAGCACCGAGTGCGTTATAGTCTTTAATAAGCAATGTTTTAACAGTCATATCCTTGGCAGAAATGCATCCGCTTGCCGATTCTTTTTTCTTTCGTTCGCGAGAATTGCTCTAACGACAATCGGGTACCTCTTCTTGGTCCCGGAGAGTTCTCATTAATTTCTACTTGCAGTTTTTTAAACGACTCTTTTTGTAAGCGAAGTCACGTGCTTCAGATCCGAGTCCGGTGTCCTCGAGCGCGTCGTTTACTCCGAAAGAACGGCCACTGGAGAAAGGCAAAGGAAACAACGAAGCGAAATCCGAAACCCAGAAGAACCGCACGTCTTCTTCTTCTTCTTCTTCTTCTTCCTCCTCTTCTTCTGTCGATGCCCATCGAGATCCAACGAGAACCAACGCGGAAACCGCCGCGACGCAGGGATCCGTGAAAGAACGCTCGGAAAACGAGCAGATAAACTCCGCGGAGATGTTTCAAGATATCCTGCGAAAGATCGGTTCCTTGGGTAATCGTGGCAGACAGATGCTGCGCAAGTTGATGGACGAGATCGACGCCCAGGGCGCCGAGGGCGAGGCGCTGAGACGACTGGTGAACGAGACGATGAACAACGAGAAATTGTCGAGCGAGGCGAAGCGCAGACGAAGAAGGGACCTGGTTCTCTCGTCGCCGCTTTATCGGGATTTGACGTGGGAGGATGAGAACGGCGACGCGCCGTTAGAAGAGGTGAGTCTCTTATTTCTTCGTCTTATTGAAGTTTTCAACTTCATCGTGACAAAAGCAGAAAGACAAAACGTTACGAGAGCCGCGCAGTTGCTAGTCTAGAAGTTTCAGGCAGACTTAAGAGGAGGAAGAGAAAGATAATGAAATTCCTTCGCTCTTCAGGGTATGCTGCGCCCGGACGGGATCGCGGAGGACCGAGGCACCGTGAACGAGACAGACCTGAACGACAGGAGCAACTCCGAATTCTGGAGCTCGTTCAGCAGCTCCGAGGAGCGGCTGCTGGAGTGCAAGGGTCTCATCTTGAATCTACCGCTGACCCCGCATCGTCAGTGCACGCCTAAGCACGAAAGCCAGCACGTTACGGCCTCCTTCGCCAACACTGTGACGTACAGGTAGGCGTGCGGATTCTGTGTAATTGTGTGTGTTCGTAGATTAATCCTTCCTCTTCTGAGAAGAGAAACATGTCTTCTTAATTTTGATCAATCGCTCGCTTCATGACTCGCGGTGACGTTATCTCATTCGCTCGCAGAGTGCCTTTAAACGGTTATTACTTCTTCGTGTTCAACTCGGAGAACGAGATCCAGCCGAACTACGTGAGAGTGCGCTTCGACCTACTGAAGACTGTCTACAACACCTCGAATTCGGTGCACTCCTGCAAGAACAGCACGAAGGAGTGCTCGTTGCCGTTCGATATCTTCAGCAACGAGCGGACGGTGCTGGAGGTGCCGTTGAGCGGCAACGACTCGCAGTGGAACGAGGAGTACATGGTGGTGTCCACGTGCGTGCCACGGACGTCGATCTACTTCATTTGCGTCGTCATGGTGCCTCTGTTGATCCTCTGCTTCGCCTTTCATTAGAAAATCGGGCCACCGACTCCCTGGTATTTCCCTGATAGCGCGTGCTGATAAGATTCGTTACCGTAACGAAGCCGCGTTCGGAAGCAAGACTGTCTCGAATTCGATTTGCTTGTGTAAATACTCGGCAGTTTATGATGTAGATTCATGTAGCGAGAGGGGTGCGCGGCCTGACGGTTTCGAGATATTCTGTATTATAGCGAGTAACTTGGCGGACATTAGTGGAAATAATAGACTCGACAGCACCGCGGGATCATCATCAAAGATGGAGGTTTGCATTTTAATGAAGCGTGTCTGATAATCGTATCTTCGTAAGATTCGTCTGTGTTCTGCCCTGACAGAAATTTATTACTGGCTGTAGTAAATTGGCCAGCGATGATAAGTAAGTAACGAGTAATTTTATTACTTATTACTTATTGCTTATTACTTATACGAATAATAAAATTACTTGTTATCACTGGCCAATTTATTACAGCCAGTGATAAATTTCTGTAAAGGCGATGTTGCAGGACCTCGAAGATCTTTGAGATTGTTATATTTCGCGCGATCGTTCCTAGTTGTTGTAAATATTTGTATTTCGCTCTCGGTCTGCAATTAATTATCCGCGAATTTACGCTGCAAAGTGATATAAAGCCGTAATGTATTCAGCGTGAAATATCGTTCTTAATGTAGTAAGCGATTTCGGCGCTGAAAGACTCACCAAGTCAAGACTCACGCTCGCGGGCGATAGAAACAATATGATTAATTGTAACAATGTAACGTTGTACACGATGCAATCAATTTTTGGATTGCGTAGTGTGAGCGAATAAATCGGTTTGTCGGACGATTGTGTTCGGATGTTCGATTCGATCGCGGTCATTCCAAGCTCGAGTGAGAAAATATTTTCATGAGATATCTCGAATTTGTCAAATGGTAGCAGCGCGCGGTGATAAGAGACAAAGCTCTCGACATTGTCGGAAAGAAAGCGACGAGTGCAGACGTCGCGAACGAAGAAATGTCGCGATTGATTTGTTTTTTTTTTCTCGCACAAACGGCGATTTAATTTCGCGCTGTTTGTCCGCGCGAAGTGTTTCGCAACACGGACGAAGGGGTGAGTTTACGTCTCCGAGCGTCTCGTGCGCGTGTATATGATATTATATACATACGCGTTGCGATGATCGATATGTCAGCGGGCGCGAGTGCCACACGTGGAAAACAAACACTAATAATGGGATTAGTGCGGGGCGGCTGGTTGACGGCGATAACGAAAATTGATTTCACCCTTCGCGCTCGACCCCGCCGCGGCACGGGGATGCTCCATTCGAGCGCGTTGACGTTCATGGGACGCTGCGCAAAACCAGCGACACGCCTCTCTCTCTCTCTCTCTCTTTCTCTCTCTCCTGAATTCGGCACACCCAGGCGAAATCTCGATACCCCTGGCAGAGAACATCGGTTCAATCTATTCAAAAATTGATTTCGCCCCGTTAGTGGAGCCGGTTGCAAACCATTCGGATCCTGGCAATCCGAGCAAGTTCGCTACGGTGAAAAAATATCGCGCGTTGTGAAAATAATAATAATAATAATAATCTTTATTTACGAGAAGAAAACCTTTCAGTATGCAAACAATAAAAAAGAAATATCGCAGAAAAAGATATAGAAGATTATTAACAAAATATAAGAAACATATGATGAAAGGTTTTGGTATAATTATATAAAGGGGGAATAGAATTATAAAATAATATTACTGGTGAAAACCTATGAAGTCACACGAATAAGGGAACGCTTAAATGTTATTAGTATTCCTTGAAAAAAAAAGACCCAGAGAAGCGGAGAAAAAATTCGCAGGCATACACAGTCTGCTTAAATAAGAATTAAAGCTATACGATGTTCGATAAATGATCGTTCTGCCAGACAAAAAAATCCTGAATCCGAGAGAGACAAAATTTCGAAAAATATTTAAGGAATTCAAAGAAATGTTCAAAGGAATGTTCAAAGAAATTAAAGTATCTTATGATCTTTGCTGGTTTCTTTAGGTCGAGAATGAAGTGTGCGTATCCCTCGAGATTCTATTTCAAACACGGCGATCTGAGTTACTCGATTTCTGAAATTAATTTCTAAATTTCTTCAAACGAAACTCTACTTGAGAAAAAGCGCGACAATAGGATTACGAAAATTCGGATGACCCTTTACCCATATAGAGTAAAGTTTTCGCTCTGAACCGCCGAGTGAAAATATCCACTTGGAACTGAAGGCATGATATTATTATACCTCGATTTCGCAATAATTACATATTGATATGTAATTTAAAGTATGGCGGTCGTTGAGACGACTTGTGCTTTGCAGCAAAGGTGAAAGAAATTTCTTTTTTTATTGTTTCAACCCCTCGAGTTGAACGTGACACGGGAGACTCGTCGGTTAAAAAAAAGAGTAAACCGTGCTACGACGGTGGTTTACAGCGAGATGACTATTCAACGACGATACTCGTGTACAAGTGAAAGTGCCGTTGAGATTTCGGGTAGGTGGGTAGGTAGGTAGGTAGGTAGCTATTGAAACGAGAGGAGACGGAGGCTGCGCGAGTGTTCACCGCTGATAAGGGACGCTCCGCCCTCCCAACCCTCTCGCGGCAGCCACCTCGGACTGGCGTCCTCACGGTCGTAGAATCGCAGGGTCAAGTTGTCGCGGAGGGCCCGGGCAACGGCATGAAGTATTAATCTGACGGATTAAGCGGACAAATCGACGGGAGATTAATTTTTAAGGTGCCGTAAAGTGTGAGGAGAGGATCATCTCGACGCTTAATTAACAGTCACGCTACATCGTCCCATAATTAATCCGCATCTTTTCCCTGAGTCGGCTTTCCCGAGCCCGGTTTCGAGCTTCGCCGATTCGGTAGGATTATGAACGATCATTAGACTTTTTTTTTTATTATTATAGCACAGGTCGCTATACTTGTCATTGTGGTTGGAAAAAATTTTCTCTGCGCGGAGAAAATGTCTGAATGAAAGAATTTTCTGGTGAAATATGAGAGACTCGGAAATTCTGGGGGAAGTTAGCAAAATTTAGTCCAAATTATCAAGATTTCTGAATAACTTAAACAGAATTCTGGTCTTTTCAGTCAAAGTTTCTGAATCGTTTTTCGCTAGAAAATTGATTCATTTAACTAAATATTACTTTCCGGCAGGATTATCAGATTGTACAAATTCGCTGGCGAGCAGGCATTCGCAATGTGTGACGCTTCGACAATAAAATTCTAACGCAGCGCGTTTCCATCGAAAATGCATCGTCGTAAATCTCTCGAGCCGGTGGACGTTAACGGTTTTCCGGATTTTTATCTGAAAATCGACATGGCCCGAGAGACCGCGATAAGAGCCACGCGCGATTTCAATTTCGTGCGGTGGCGATACATTAATACCTTATTCTTATTCATTGACACGCGCAAATTGGGCCGCGAGTTGCCAGGCCTGTGGGAAAGACCGTTGCGAAACAACCCCCATAAAATTCGACGAGGCGGCAGCCTGGGGGTTACTTTTTATCGATTCCCGCGATGGGACTTGTGTGGTGCACTGGTGATTTTTCAAAAAACGTCTTTCGACGTTCGCGAAAATTGTACCCTGTTTTATTTTCGATGCAAAATTTATAATAAGAATTTTTATTAATATTATCTATGTATATTATTAATAATATTAATATTACTGCCAAGTTTGCGTGCAAAGTGAAATTTACCTTCGACAGTTCACGCGATGAAGTGACGCGCAGTGCGCAACGGTTGACGCATTCACGATGACTTTTCCCAAACAATCAACTTTCGATTAGCTAACCGAGTCCCGACGAGCATGGAGAGAGAAAAAAAGCAGCCCCTGCTTAGTATACATTAAGGGTGAGAGCAGCTACCCCCTGTCGTCAAGTGGCCACCGGCTACGGCTTGTTTTATTGTGACACCTCGGGAGGGTGCCGCGGATTTTCCAGTAGGATGCGCCGGGGTGTCATCGTCGGAGGCCGATTAGACGATCGTATCGTCGCCGGTGCTCATTCGAGCGTCATTACGAGCCAATCTGCGTGGGAGCTGCTTCGGTTTCGGTCGAGTCTGATATGTACGTATCAGTGACGCGGAGGAAATCGATGCGACACGCGTCGACGAGCGGTGTTTACAAATTGTAGATCACGCGAAGAGGAAGAGGGACCTTCCGGTGGAGACCTCCGTCAAATCCGACGCATTTGGAGACGCGCGCTGAACATTTGATACGAGACTTCTCCTCCTGATGAAACATGCCCGTCGCTCTTCTAAAAGTCACTCGTCGCGACTTATCGCGAGCGACGTGAAATCGCTTCATCCGCGGCGACAATAACCGGATAACGGCTAAGTGATAAGATACAGCGCGACTTGACACGCATTCCTCGCAGGAAGCATCTTTGCAACACATGGCAATGAGTCGAAAGCAGGAAGGGGGTGGAGACAGATTCAGCTTCCTCGCGTGTGCACGTGTGCACGCGAGATAACGCGGGAAAATACCGCAGCTGGTTCTGCGTCATTCCAGTTGTATCGAGCGGAATCGGTGAAATTTATAAACGCCGAGAATTATCATCGTCTGAGTTCATTCGCATGTTTCTGCGTGCATTATGCAACGCGGCGATTGTTTAACGCGCACGGGAAGATCGTCGGTGCGCGCGAGACGCCGTCGAGACTGTTTAACGTCGCTAATGCCGCACACTTCTCCAAATTGTATATCGCCACCTTGATCTCCGAATAAAAGGCGCACAAAGGTCACGTGCGTTACCCTCGATCACCAACGCGTGCCCCGACCCGGATCGTGGGCAAGCTTTTTTATATCGCGCGCTGATCCATCATGGATACGAAAAACGATTAATTTAGCGACGAAGTGAATTTTATAGACTGATAGTCCCTCCCAGTCACTGCCCTGTTACACATCTCCGAAATGCAAACGATATATTTTTATGAGTAATAATACATCATTGTTAATTCAATGAAGTCTAAAGAAACCTCGATTGTTTCAATTTTCTCGTTTGCTGTCAGAAGTACAGGCACGGCCATTGCTTCGCTTTTAAATATCGCGGAATTTAAATATTCTTGCATTTCTACTTTTCTCTTTTTTTTTTAAATCCTCCGTCGCTCTTTCGCATATTCGTGGATTACTCGCGTTGTGTTTTTGGTACCGATTAAGTTTCTTCTTAATTCATCCAAAAAAAAATATTTGATTTATAAAGTGATTTCTCCCATAGTTTCATATTCTAAGCGAAGGCTTTTACAGAAAAAAGATTCCTCTTTCGACAAAATGATTTAAGTGAACCATTCGTTAAAAATTTACTAGACATTATTCTAATTGTTTTCCTCTTATTTCAAAAGGATTTCCTCTTATATCAATTAATTCTCTTCTTATATGAAGAGGAATATGTTGATTTGAATGTCGGCTTCTTTTGTTCAATCATGCTCTATCTTCAGACATGAATGAAAAAATAACCATATTTTCATGGGTCAGAATATTTAGAACGCTTTTTAAAAAAAGGTATGTGTGTTGTTGTAACATATAACAAAGATAATTTATCCATATTTGGTCAAATACAGTTTATAATCTATTGCAAAAAGTTGAATAATATATTCTTTCTTTTAACTATGTTTGACACAATTAGTTATGATAAACATTTTTGTAGCTATGAAGTCCATAATAAAACTGACTGGAAATTTATTTGTTATGATGATCTTATTTCATTCGTGCCTATTTATTGTAGAATTGGAGCCAGAAGTACATCTATATGTACATATATATATATATATTACTTTTCGCTATACATTATAATAATTTTTTTCAAATTAACCAGTATAACCAGTAAGAATAAATAATAATCCTCTTAAAAAAAAAGGGTTAAATAATCTGTATATAAGAGGAAATTTATATTAAAATCAATAAGATTTACATTATACATATAATCCGTCTAACTTTAAAAATAATGTGTTTATAATATTTTCCTCTTAATCTTAGAGGAATCCTCTTGAGGCTATGTTGTAAGAATAAAATCCTCTAAAATTTCGATGATTCCGCTTGTTCTGAAATTACTTTTTTTTGGATGTTAATCTACGCGACCGCACAGAAGAAATCATCAACAGTAAGTAAGTAAGTAATTTAAATTCCTCGACATTTTTTTTTTATTTCATATGTGACACGCGCGCACGAAGACTCGCGAAAACTCAGGACGTCGGAATCGCGCTGATGCGTCGTCCACGTATCCCGCGATTTCTCGATCGAGGTCATTCGCGCGGGATCCGAGGAGATCGATCGGTGCTCGACGAAGCTAACAAAATCGCCAGTGTTTTCACGGGATACATGAAGATGTGATCCGCGCGAGGAGCGTCGATAGAGGGATGCCGGATGGAGTACCAATGGGACGGACCTGAGACGAGCTCCACCCATAAGCCTGCGCTCCGCCCTCGTGAAATTCATTTACCCGGGAGTTACCCTGGACTTTCCACTAGTCAGATTGGCTCTCTCAACATTGCCGCTTGCTCTACATGACAATCGCGATGCGAGCTGGCCCGCGCTCCGAGTGACCGTCGATTTGTCGTTTAATCGCGCGACACTGTTCGCACTTCTCGCCTCCGACAGACATGGTGAGCCTCGACTGTGCGTTTCGTGCGATCGCGTCAAACTACCCTATTTAACCTTCTCTCCCTTTCCACCCTCTCTCTCTCTCTCTCTCTCTCTCTTCAGATATACGCGTACGTGTGTATCTCTCACGATGAGAACGCGTTGTGTTTGTGTGCGAGCTTCGGTGCGATCGCGAAAATTTCGTTTCGAAGTGTCGTGTTGTCCAGTGCGAAAAGTTTAGTCTATTAACACGTTGACTCTGCCATGATGGTGACTAGTGTTAATTTCGTCTCGTTAATTTACGTACAAGGAACTGTGTGCATGAAAATATTAGACATGTAGCCGATGAAAGGAGCTAATGAATGCATGCATCGCGACCGACACTTATTTGCCGCATATTCGGTCATCCTAATTTGACTCTGAGATAATCGCTGGAAGCCAACGTGACGGTCAACGTGTTAGAGACTTTGCACCGATCGTGCAACTGTTAAAGCCCCCGCGTGATCGTATGATTGATTTCCTTCGAAGACCTCAGATCAATATTGAAATCGTCAGTTGAGTGGAAAATCGCGTCTCATTTTCAGATCATTTGCTACTTATATAAATTATTGCAGGGGGGGTGACGGAGAGAATGGAGTCTTGTATATTTTTTTCTCTTTCTGTGAGAAGAATATTTCCGCGATATACGTAATTCCATATTAAACAATCGTGTACAGCTGCGCAATTGAAAGATGCGTCATTAATGCTGTGCAATGCCGATGATTTCGGTGCGCGAAAGGACCCGCTTCGTCTGTCGACGTTTTAACAACGAGACTCGCATCTTTTATTCTTGCGGCTCAACTTCGACACGGCCTCTTTCTGAGCTACCAACACGTTCGCTGTCTGCTTGTTGAGCACAGAGAGAGAGAGAGAGAGAGAGAGAGTCGAGTCGAAAAACTGACGTTACAGCATCGGGCAAATTGGGAGACGCCAGTGTACGAAATTATTTCTGGAAGAAAAGACGAAAAACGGAAACGGTTTCTTTTTTCGTGTACAGATAAAATACACAAAGCGACGGCAAGAGTGCGCGCATGATTAATCGGAGCACAAAGATAAATTGGACGGCATATCTGTTGAATGTCAGGGACAGTTGAAGACAGTACATTATCAATTTCCTGGCGGCGCTATATATGTGGGCTAATTATATCCTGGATCGTCCGCTTGACAGGCTCGTTTTATACTCAGTCCCCCATCAGTCCCAAATAATATATATAAATATATAAATTTTAACGGTAAATAATTGTTTGTTCGAAGAGCCGTCGCGAATCAATAGCGGACTAGTATCTGGTATGGACAAAATTTAGTTAATAATTATTAATTACTCGCTATCGTGTCTCAGCGAGTTCCTTCTCAGATTCTGAAGCTGCAGCCGCAGAAGAGTAGTCCGTATGTTTATTTGCCATTAGCGCGCGATATGATCGGCACGTAAGACACGGGGGAATAGTTTGAGGACACACGACGAGTATTATCATTGTTCAGTTATAATTGAAAGTTAACAGCCAATTGAAGAGAGAGAGAGAGAGAGAGAGAGTTTGTTCGTGCGGTACGTTCGTCGCGTTTACTCAACAATACCTCGTCCATCGTTACAGCCGATGTTAACGTACAGCGGCTGCAGCGGCGGGACTGCGGATACCGAGAATGGATCCCCGGCGGAATCGTTGTTGTCCGGCGAAGGAGAACTCCCGGAGGAAGCCGGAGATTCCCCCGGGACGTCGAGGGACACCGAGGAGGAAGCCACGTTGTCCGACGAGTTTTACTCGCACGACACCGACGAGGAGGACGACCAGAGTAAGAGGAGGCGAGATCGTCCCAGTTCCGTGAGTGAAGGATATTTTTGACGAACGGGATTTTGCCTCACGATTTCGCCCGATTTTTCGCCCCGATTGCCGGTGGTGGCCTTAATAAAATTAATGATAATTCACGTAGCTAGACGGCATCTCACCGTCCGGCAGCGGCCACTTGGGGTCGCCGCCGCCTCGCATAGGCAACATGGGGGTGAGAAAACTCTTCACAAACAGTCGCGAGCGATGGAGGCAGCAAAACGTGAGCGGCGCCTTCGCCGAACTTCGCAAATTGGTGCCGACGCATCCGCCCGACAAGAAGCTGTCGAAGAATGAGATTCTGAGGATGGCGATAAAGTAACGTAGCACCAGTTGTTCGCTCGTAGACAACAGGACGGACGTTGATAAACGAATCGTATAAACGATGCAACACAATCTCCCAATACCTTCCTCCCTAGCGTTCTCTTGAATCGGCAAAGACACTTTGGAATTCGAGACGCTAATTGTCGGCCGATCGCGAAAAAATCCGTACTTTGTTAGCCGGTCGATCTGCGAAATTACCTCGCGTTTAGATGGCTCAAGGAAAAATTGATAAAGTTACGCGCAAGCAAGAGGGACGGTGGAGAAAAATAATCGGTGGGAAACAACGGACGTTCATTCCCGAGCAAAACATTGTTAGAGCCATTCTCATGAAGCATAATCCTATGGATGCTATATTTTATTGTAAAATATGCTATATTTTTGAAATAAAAAATCCTTGTTGTATACTAACAAGGTTATAAAGAAACAAAGAAATCGCAGTCTAAATTTCTTGGAATGAAAAGAACGAATATTTTTACTCAAGCAATAATAAAAATATTTCCTAAGATCCTATTAATATTGCCTCATAAGGCCCTGTTGATATTACCTTATAAGACCCTTATAATATTGCCTTATAAGAACCCGTTAAACTATTCTTTAGTTACACATCTTGCAGGGCCCTTGTCTTTCTATCTCTACTAGGGCCCGATTAATGTAACGAGAGAAAAATAATCAGGCTCTTACTAGAGCTCTGTTAATTTTCCTCGGCTTAGCGCTCGAAAGAGCCGGTCGACAATATGCTGACGAATCTGATTTCGCGCAGGTATATATCGCTGCTGAGCAGCGTCCTGGAGTGGCAGAAGGGCCAGGACCGCAACGGGGTGCAGCACCAGGACGTGCGCATCAAGTGCGAGTCCCACCTGAGCGGGCAGAATCCCGCCACGTATCACACGAAGTCGACGGTGGCGTACCTGAAGCAGGAGAAGCAGCATCCCGACACCTCGCACGTCTTCCGCATCAATTACGGCGCGCAGAGGCACGGCTCGCAGCACGCGACGTGCGAGAAGAACGGCAGCAACTTGCTGATGATCGCACCGGCCGGGCTCAACGTCTCCGCCGCAGGAAAACGCTGCGTTACACCTGTCGTCGTTAGCCAGGGCAGCTTTCACAGGTGCGTCGAGCTAACTCGCTGCTCTGCAAAGCAGAAGGAACAACCGAGTTAGTGAGAATCGATGCGTTCGTCCAGTTCGTAAATCCTCGCAACGTTCATAATATTTGATTGCGAGCTTACAAATTGTCTCCACATTCTGTTAAATTCAAGTTCCACAGGTCGATCATGAACCTTTTTCTTCCTAGCGTACATTTATGAAGAGTGAAAATTTTTTAACGTGAAAGCGTACGGAAATATGTGTGTACTTTTTTACGAGTTCTCGTCAGAAGAAAAGACTCGTGATTGATCTCCTGATGATTTTAATAACAATCTCGTCTTGCACTCGTTAACCTTTGGCAGTCGAGATCTTCCTCTCGTCTTTTCATAGTCGAGTCTGATCGTTCGAATTCTTGTGAGATACCGGGAAGTTATTGTAAATTGCAAGTTTTTATTGTAAATAAAAGAAGGATATGTATCCTTTTCCTTTATTCGCTTACGCCTGTAACGCGCTGTCACTGTTTCCAGCAATAGCAACGGGAATCTCATACGTTCTCCAGCGAGCGGACGGACCTCGGGGTTCCCGAAGTCGCCGCAGGTCTCCTCGGGTACCAGCATGGCGCCCAACGGTAGCTCCTCGTCCTTGACTAATAACGCACCAGTCACGAACGGTGTAGGATCGAGCGGATCGAACTGTGGCCAAAAGAGATTCAAGATCGAGCGGGAAGAGGAAGAGCAGGGCACTTCGAGGGATTGCCGAGCTCCGCCACCGCCTGCTCATAGTGTGCCGGTAAGGAAAAGGATAAAGGTCACTTTCGTGAAGGACTCGGTCTCGGGATTCCGCGGCGATCTGTGCGGTGTAGATCGCAAGTGAACAGGAGAAATGCTCTTTGCGACACGATCAACCGTCATGGTTTTATTTCTCAACAACGTGCGCGTATTGTGTAAATATTTCTTTGATGCTGTATCCGACAATAATTGGGGTAAAACGACGTAGAATCGGATTATCCGCTCGACGGCGATCTTGAATTAACATTGGGTTGAGCGTCTCATTCGTGATTATGCGAATTTTCTCCGAAGACGCTTCTCATTAGCGCTGAATGCTATTGTGTCGCATGTAACGGTTTTCATTCTGTGAAAATTTAAGCGAATGTTTCCGTGAGCTCAAATGGTCTTGATAGTACAAAAGTTTAAAGGTCATTTCGTTCAATACTCAGCAATCTTTGAGTCATGTGCATTAAAATTTGTTGTGCGTAAGAATTTTCTTTCAACAGATATGAGAAATTAATAGGTATTAATGTATATCAAAATGAATTCTTTACGAGAGCACCTGGGGAGAAAAATGATCTCTAAGGGACTGTAGAAGCTGCGGTTGGAAGAACACTCAGAGTTGGTTCCGGCGAACGTCAAAGCGCGACCGATGGAACGTTCTTCAAAGAATACTTTATTACTCACGTTGCGTTACATCGTTTGTACAATACTTGAGAATTGTATCGCAGTTGCGCACAGAACAGTGACATGAGAAACACGGATAGGAAACTCCCAGTTACATGGTTCATTGTAAACCCGTTACAAATATATTCACGTGTCAGGCTCCCCGCGTCCGATTTGGGTGCCGACTTATTGTAGATCTTGTATATAACAGAATATATCGAATTTTTTTTGTGATTCGTACATCTATCCGTTTATCGTATTTATTCTACGGTGAACACAGCAAACACTTGGATGCTTAATAGTTATCGACAGACAACAACTCCATCCTGTGTATTCCGGGAGAATCGTTTACGGTCGTTCTATCCTTCGTAAAAATTCGAAAAAATTCAACACTCGTCTTCGTCTTGATACAAATGACAGACGCATGTCTAACACAGAATTGACATCGGATATCGCAGCACATCGAATTTGACACACACGTATTTACACTTACGACCATAGTGGGCGAAACAATCGTTTTCATTTTTTCATTCACAGGTCAAGGAGATTAAGAAATCTCCGCTTGTGTTTTCCATAAGGTACGAGGCTCCAATTTTATCTCGCGGCCGTATTCTGGCCTCTGCTGGATATTTAAAGCTTTGAAACTAATCTGAGAACCGGCATATGTGCCGTAACCATCGCAGCAACTAAAAGAGACTGTAACCACCTAACCCAGTGAAAACCATAACGTTGATTCGACGTTGATTTGACATTGAAATGGTCGATGAAACGTTGAATCAACGTCAACTCAACCTTCATCGACGTCGAATCAACGTTGTGGTTCTGGGACTGGGCAGCGTCTTCGTATCTCAATATATTTCACAAGATGAACATATCATAGGAGATAAATGCCGAAATCGGTAGCTGAAGAAGAAGAGAGCTGCAAACAATCCTTAAGAGTGTGTTCTGAATGCTGTTGCACAGTTTTCGGATAAAACAAGCACGAATTGAAGACACGCGCACGTATGGTGAAGTGAAATCAGAGGAAACCGCGAATCAACACGTCGAATCAACACTGACACAAAATGTCCGATCGACTGACCTTCGCATCGGACTCCACTTCGCACTGACATCTTCCACATACACGTCGCATTTGTAGCTCCACTTCGTCAACGGAGATTACTCAGAAAGCAGGCGAAAGCGATGACGTTCGCTTGGCGAAACACCTGCCCTCACGAGCGTTCCCTACGTCAGGTACACCTTGTACCTGGTGCTGTCTCTCTTCTGGCGATCCGAGGACAGCTTCTTGGGCACATAACGCTCGTCGTTCCATTCGATCGGCGGCACCGGTGTGGCGGGTCGCTCATCGCTCTGGCTGAAGGCTCTTCTCGGCGGCGCCTCCAGGATCTTCCGGGTGCTCTTGCACTCCACGCTGCCGCGCTTGCTGAAGTTGACGCTGGCGTAGCTAGCGTCGCTGGTGCGCGTCTCCCGCTTCGGGAAGTCCACTTCCACGTAGCTGACATGAGAATCGCGCGACTTCGCGCTCACGTCCGAGTTCCGCTTGTTCTCCTTGTCCACCCTCTTCGCGGGTGTCTCTCCTGGTCGGTCTCTCTTGGTCACCCACGATTCCGACTGACGGGACATACGGGACTCTCTTCGGGCTTTCTCGTCGTAGTCGTCCGAGTAGGTGCGTCGTTCACGACCTCGTGCCCGTCTCGTACCGAGGTCTTCGCTGTAGCGCAGTTTGTCGTTGAACTTCCATAGACGCTCCTCTTGCTCGTCGATGAACACCTCGCTGGCGTTGTGGCTGTCCTTCGTCGACCTTTGTCTGTCTTCTTCGCACTCTTGGATTTCACACGCCTTGGACTGAAAAGAGAGCGATGATGAAATTTTCAAGTTCCGTAGGTCTTAACGCTGATCGCACGTACCTTGAATCTGCTCATCCTGTCGTTAAACTCCAGGTCCTGGCTGTTCCTGCGAACCGGCTGGTAGTTGGTCCTCTCCTCCTCGCTGCTACTCTTGCTGATCCACGCGTTTTCTCGCTGAGAACTCCCAGCCCTCTTCGGCCACTCGTTCTCCGTCTTGAAGTCGTACAGGTCCCGCATGCGTTGGCTGAGCTTGATAGCTCGATCGTTGGTGTCAACGCAGCTGAAGGAGCGATCTCTGCTCATGTCCAATTCATCTGGAATTTAATGTCAGGGTGTGCTCGAAGGTCACCGATGAAGGCGCGTGCGGGGATTGAAGAAGGGAAAAGAAAGCCAAGTCGAGTCGCTCACCTTGCCTCTGCAGGTGTCCCTTCTCGTTCTTCGCCGGCGAGAACTTCCTCGGTGGCTGCCACTTGGAGTTATCCGAGTCCTTGCACGCTCCTTCGTCCTTCTTGATGCATTCCGCGATGGAATCCCTCCCTTCGGGATTCGCCCTCGGCACAAGATCGGGAGACGGACTTTTCACGAAGGTCATCCACCGGTTGGCCGAGCCCTTGGTGATCGCGCAGTCGACCCTCGCGAGGGGGGACGACTCACGGCGAAACTTGGCGCCGTCGATCTGCGGTATCCACCTGAAGAAGACGAAAGGGCTTGAGTTCCCGTCACAACTACGTCCGATATACTTTATGTGAACACGCAAGACAACACGTATAAGATAAAAATCTCGGATCTATCTGAAAAGAGCACACCATCAGGCATCAACGATCACTGCCGGTCTCGCTACGATCACGGTGGGTGGATTTGAACAGAGATCACGCGCTGAAACACTCGCGACAACGTCAAGAGACAGCAGCGACTACTTCCGGTCGTAAGGGTGGCGAGTCAGGCATCGCTACTCTTTAAATTTCTCCGAGTGGACTCTCACTCGAAACGCCCAAGGAATGGCAGTGTTTTCACTCGAAGCGAATTAGTGAAGAACATTGCCGGAACTCAAGAGCGCAAGAGCGAACAAGTTCTCCCGTTGGGTGCGACTCGCAGTGCGGAACTAATTCATCGAGTCTCGCAAGCTTTAATCCGTGCTAATTGCACATCGGATTCACTGTTCGCTTTCGAGTGAAAGCGATGCTGAGTGGAGAATTCACCACGACACGCACGAGCGAAGGATCGCTCGAATTCGAGTGACTCGGCAGCCGCTCTACTTCTCGAGCGAGGTTTCGCTCCGAGAAATTTAGAGAGCTCGTTTTCACCCCTTGAGCTCGGCTACGACTGGCGAGTCCGACCAACACAATGGGCATACGCATATACATAGACGCGTGCACAGGAGCATGGCGAACATCGAGCCCGCGACGGGACGAGCGATCGAGACGAGAACACGTGACAGAGGGAAGAGACAAGAAATCGGACGAGAGGGACGAGACATCTGATCGGATAAACTAGACGCCCATTACCCGTAGCAGGCTGCGAAACGACAATCGTGATCAATCGCGCCTACTCCGAATCTCAACTACAACCCGGATCACGGCATTTCTCGCTTTCGGACGTGGAAAATGTGCGCGGTCAACCTCGTGGCGATGGTGCGCGGGTCGCTGCAGTCTGTGTGCCGTCGTTGCTCGATGCTGCGCTTGTCGTGAGCCCTCAGAGCGGTCACGTCGGTGCTGTGACTCCTGGAGCCAGGCTGACGCGGCGCGATGAGCTCAGGATCGAGCGTCCTGGCGACGGAGGACCGGGGGTCCTCCGAGGTTGCCGAGTTCGCCAGCTTGCCTGGCCACCTTTCGATAGCCGTCGCCGACTCGTCCACGCTATCCTGCCGCTCGTCCCTTGATGGTCTCTTGCTGCTGCCGGGACTCGCTTGCTGACCTCGCGGCAAGTTCCTCGGCAGCGGCGCCCACTTGGAGGTGTCCAGCTTGCTGGCGTCGCTGATCTCCGTGTGCCGGCGCTCCTCCACGCGGCGCTCCGTGTACTTCTTCAGGCAGTCCACGTCCGCGCTGCGGCTACGCTGGCTGCGCGGCGATCGGGATGGTCGTCGTAGCCCGCTGTTGCCCGCCGGGCCAACCCTTTCCTGAACAGTGCCAGCGGACAGCGTTCATCGAAGGCCACCGAGTGCCGAGGGGGTAATGTAGGGGGGCTTAGGGGCTTTTGGACGGGAGTGGTTTTCAAGTGGTCCAGGCGAGTGCTTTGAAGAAGGAACTACTGGGAGCTGGCTTGTGATGTATCTTTATTCTCAATTATTTTCTCATCTCAGTTCTCTTAGGAAGCATATGTGCAAGATCTTTCGGATTATTACGAGACACTCTCGTTCACGGATCCTCCGACTAACTCCTCGACGAAAATGCTGAGAGGTCAACGATCTTTCCTCTCTAGTAACGGAAAAGATGGCAAATTTGAATATTTTACTATACAACGGAGTCGTTGCTTTAAAATTTGTCTTGTTTGAAAATTGACATTCGTAATCTTTGCAATTAAGAGAGCATCGTAGTTCTTGTGACAATTTTGCATTCCCAGACCAGAGAATTGTTCCCTTATTACATAAAAGGATAAGGAGAATGGGATGAAGCATTTGACAAATTACACTTTCTCTCGAGTAATTCAAGTTGATCGATGTAAAGCGATAAGATACATGCAGCTGTACAATCGATAACTACTGTCGTTGAGCAAAATTCCATGACCAGAGGAGTGTTCTTCGTACTGTCGGTTACGATGGAGATACAGTGTGATGAAGTGTGGGAGTAATGTAAACTTTATTCTATTTCAAACGCAGAGAATACAAGGAATCGAGACGAAAGACACCAATGGAACGTCATTTACGATCACAGAACCGTATTGCGTATTCAGCAAGGAAGATCGACGTCGATAAGGAGATCGACGCGCCAGGGTGACTGGTATTACCTAAGTAAGGTGAAGCTTCGCGTAATCCGATATATGCAGAATTCCATGCGCCGCGGACGCGACGTGCAAGCTGGCGCCGCACGCGCGCGGATTGATCTTGGGATTGTGCAGCTCGGCCACTTGGGTGCTGCACGCCGCCGCCGGATCGCCGCTGGCATCCAAATAACCATTCCAGAATTCGTTTCCTACGGGAGAAGAATAGCTATCTCACACACGGGTACTAAAAAGAACATCACATTCTGTGGACGCAGGAAAAATTTAGGAAAACGGATATATTCCATCCGAATATATCTGCCGAAAACATTTCCTTAATTATTCGTTCGTTCGATCGTTTGTATTTCAAAACGCTGACAAAATAAGTGAGCGAATGACTAAGCGAGCGTATGTGATGGGACATAATGAAAAACACAATGAAAAAATGCACAAACCTGGCAGCGCGTTTCCGTCCCAAGCGTAAGTCACGACGAGGAGTTTGTTCGCGTCGTTAGGACGAAACAGCCTGCTGTGCGGTTCCCTCAAGGCGAAATGAATCTTGATATCTAAAAACGGTATCGTCGTCATGCATTCGATAGGAAGACGCTTATATTTACACACCGATTGCTCACTAACCACCAAGATAATCGCCGTTCCCCGCGCCGCCGCACTTCTGCTGCCGGAAATAAGCGAACATAATGTCGGAAACGTACTTGAGCTTCTTGTTCATTTTTCTGATCGCGATCTCGAATGTTTTCAGAAAATAGACTTCTTGATCCTGAATTATCTTCCAGACGCCTGCGAACCGTTATGGCTTAATTAGCGGATGTTTGCAGAAAACGAGCGGCAGTCTCGATAAGTAATGAACATAAAATTCCAGAAAAGCCATTATCACGAATTAAGAAATTAAGACTCACTTCACGGCCTCTGCCGAGAAGGCGGAAATTAAAAATTTCTATTTTAAAAAATTTTCAACTAAAACTCGAAAGCTTAATCACGAGTTTATGCTGCGAAATCACGCGTGTGACTTTTAAGTGCGAGCCAAGCTGGGGTTTTCATGTTCGATTAGACAGCGGCGGCCAGAGATCTGTCAATTTCTTTTTTTTTTAATTGGAATAATTAATAATTAATAGTATGCGATACAGCGACGGACATAGTGGATATTCCGACAGAAAAATATTGAGGTGTATTATGACGGAGGATTAACAAGCTGTTCTAGACGGATAGCGAGAATTTCATCTCGACACTTGTAACGACAAGAGATTGCACTAACCCAGGCCAAAACCGACCACGTGCAGGAAGGCGGTGGTGTTTTGCTTCTCGGCGCGAGTGTTTGCCTCCAGCAGTATTATTTCTACGGAGAGCAGCATCCGCTTCATGTAGTTCTCGATGTCGAAGACCGTCTGGCTGGCCAACGACAGGTAACGCCTGTTGTCTTTCGCCTTGACGCGCTTCACCGTCTCCTCGTACAGAGGATGATAATCCTCGCCGTAAAACTTTGCCCATAGAACACACATCCCGCGTTTTTCCTCGGCGGTGCCGTCCATCGCGGGCCCGTACCTGTGTCCCGCATAGATTAATTCCCTCAAGAAATTTCATTCGCACGCTGCAAAAAGTACTCGAGGGCGGGCGCATTATAACGTGGATTAACTTCCGACTACTATCCATCAAGTTTCAGTACATATTTACCACCCGCTCCTGCACACGCACACAGGCGGGATCCCTCGTTTTCCTTTCCTTTACATTCTCGTGAAAGTAAATTTATAGAATCCTCGTTGGCAAGGATACCTCCCGCCAATCGATATGAACGTATCTCAAGCGAAATTAGATGTTTTCCTCGATTTTTTCTCGCTCAGACGAGTCCCCGGCTCTGGGGATTCGCGTCTCAACGTAATAATAATAATAATAATAATAATAATAACAACAAAGCGCTTACCCATTATCCACGTTGTTCTGCAACGGTGTGATAAGGATGTCTTGATATTCCATAACACGGGGCTTTTCGAATCTACACATACATGTACGAATGACAGATTAAATGGTGTCTTCGTATTATTTATCTACAACAACAACACGCAACATATATATCCAGTTTCATAAAAATCAAGAAAATGGCTCATATTATTGGCGTAGAAGAAAGAGAACAAAATATTTTTATTAAAACACTTCAGCGTGCTTGTCTTAATGGTCATCTCGAAAATCCCCTATCCAAGAAAAAGTATTCTATCTGTAAAGCGATTTCTCCCATGGTCTCATATTCTAAGCGAAGCCTTTTACAGAAAAAGGATTCCTCTTTCGATAAAGCGATTAAAATGAACCATTCATCTAAAATTTATTAGATATTATTCTGTCTTCTTCTTATCCCAAGAGGATTTCCTCTTATATCAATTAATTTTCCTCTTATTATCATCAAGAGGAACGCTTGTCGGCGTTTTTCCTCTTCCATCTACTCACACAGAGAGACATTCTCTCTGTGCATATGATTATCATATCGCGTTGCCACATTATTATATTAAATGCCATTCAGAGTACATAACATTGCAAATTTATGTTTTTTCCTACTTTCTCAGCAGAAAGCTAGCGAATAAAATTTAACTAGAATCTTTTCTAGTTTCATAATAATTTCCTCTCCTTTCCCTATAAAGGAACGTATATTCAGTAAGAATAAAGTACAGTAAAAATAAATAATAATCCTCTTAAAAAAAATTAAATAATCTGTGTATAAGAGAAAATTTATATTAAAATCAATAAGATTTGCATTATATATATATATATATATGACAATTCCTCTAATTTTAAGAATAATGTGTTTCTAATATTTTCCTCTTTTAGAGGAATCATCTTGATATATAAAAATAAAATCCTCTAAAATTTAGATGATTCCGTTTGTTTTGAAATTACTTTTTTTTTGGGTGTCCCCCCTCTTTCTCTCTCTCTCTCTCTCTCTCTCTCTTTGCGAACACGGAGTTGCACGCGAAAGAGACAGAAATAGAACACGCAGGCTGTGACGCCATCGGAACGTCACGGTTCGGACGTATAAAAATATTTCTAAAGCAGTCGGGGTTAAATAAATGCATAAAACCTTGTGCCTACGACACCCATAATAACCCCTCGAGGTTGAACGGCGTCTGGGTCACTGCTCACGATACCTCTGTTGCTTCGCGCGCCGTCGTTTATGAACTCCGTGTGAGACGACACCACCATCATCGCTGATAATTTGATCTCATCGTAGCTGAGACATTTCGTTAGGACCTGTTTGTCAAGTTGCGGGGAGCGTTTATTAAGACGTCGCCGGAGAGAATGATGCGCGTGTATATCCCATCGCCGAAGCAACAGCGCTTCAGTTCTCCGCCAACAGCGATTGCGAATATCTCCCCAAAGTCTTTGGGGTCGCGTAAATTTCGCATCTGGCGGAGCGTCGTCGGATGGGCACGGAAACGGATGGTAATTAACAGCTAACCAAAATTGTCCTCGTAATCCGCATGTATTCGTGCATTTTTATTTTTGTCATAATTGAAATTCATTTTTGTCATTTTCACATATATATATTAAAAAATGCCTTTTCAAGATGAATAAATAATAGTAATAATTTTCGAATTTCTCTTCGAGTTGTCTTGTTTTTAATTTCGACGAGACGAGAGACATCTCATTGCGCTAAGTTTGTCACATCCGCCTCCTATATTCGTCTCCTCTCAAACTTGCTATTCTCGTCTCGCCGTTCGTTGCTCCGACGATTCGGTTAATTATCGCGCAGCTGTTCGACAGGGTATCGCTTGATTGAGTGGGTTACTGTACTCACTAACGGCTCTTTCTCGTGATCTGTACCGACGTTCTCCCAGCCGTCGAAGCCGGTCTTGTTGTCGATCAACTTCCATTGGTCACTCGCGTCGTAGAAAAAGACCGCCCTCTTGTCCAGCAGCCGGTGGATCAACTGGATGAGGCTCATGTCCTTGTAGAAAGCCTTTTCGACCGCGCTGCCGTAGAGCCGCTTGTGCTTCAACCATCGGGCGATCAGGGGCAGCATCGCCTCGTGTATCAGCGGGTACACCGAATTAGCGTTCAACTACAAAAACGTGACAATCATCGACAAGGACGTCAGACATCCCTAAAGACATCAGCAAAGACATCAGCATCACGACGCTCACGAAGCTGATGTACATGAAATCGTACATACGACCGGCAGCGATTCGCAAGCTTTCGCTCGACCCGTACTGAATGCTGACAGTTCGAAGTGAACTTAACCGCGTAACTTAAACCGCCGCGCTTAGACCGTGACGGGGAGCATTGTTGCTAATATGCGCGAACCTCGATGGTCTCCGGGTTGATCCCCCTGTCCTTGAGGGCGGCGCACCTCATGGTGCTGATCGGAAACTTGACAGGAAACGCGTCGCTCCGCTTGATTAACTCCGACAGGCTGGTCGGCGGTGGCACCGAAATGTCCAGGCATCTCTTCAGCAGCTCCTTCGTGTCGTCATCGAAGGGCACGCCGTTGGGCGAGCCGAGCGTGTTCTCCCACGATATTTCCGGCGGTTCTTTCGCCAGCGCCTGCTGACGCATCTCGTCCGTTGATCGGTTGGCCTGCGAGACGAAAGGAAAAGTCGCGGATTCGTCTGTGCAGCGCAAAGATACAGAGATGTGCAGTCAAGGTCGCGAGGCGTGGCGAAACGCGAAGACGCCGCGCCGCGCCGACCTCAGGCTCGAGCGGCGGCAAGATTGAATTTGCGAGCCATTGCCGTTGCCGAGCGTCGCGCTCGATCGTTCGACTCGACTCGACGATCTCGCGGATCGTCACGCGGCGCGGCGACTCGCCGATGGCGGATCGAAAGGCCAGGACGATCGATTCCGAGGGAAGATTTGCAAAACAGTGAATCGCCGTTCTATTAATACAACCCCCGCTGATTACCCCGCAAGGACGCCGGTCGCTTTGACACCTGAGCATGAAATCTCTTAAGTAGCGTAAAATGTGTCTGTTCACCCTAGCGAGCGGCTTGACGTTCACTCTCTTCGTGGGCGCTCGCGCGCGCGCACACAGACACACATCACACGTATACACACAGGCGACGCACGCACACGTATACACGGTGCCCGTGACGGCCCTCTCTCTCTCTCTCTCTCTCTCTCCCGTTTACTTCATTTTTCTATTTACCGATTCTGCCACTTGAGCGACAAGGGTGAGCGAAGGCTCACCCTTCAGGCTGCTTTGCATTATTCAACAATTGCCGATATTGCCCGTTATATTGCCGGCGGCTTTGCCAGCGGACGACCGTTGCAAGTTTTTACGCAAAAGAGCACGCTTACACGCGTCTGCATCTGCTGAAATTCGCTCGGCGATCGATCTAGCAACAAACACCGCACACGGTTTAATCGCGCTTCCCGAAGCTCCCTGGATGACTCGCATCTCTCGTCGCTGAATCTCCAGACGCGTCTCGCGCGACGTTCGTCGCGTCGGCAAAGTTCCCGATTCGGAAAAGTGACAACTCGAGGCAAATTCGACAGCGCCACGCGTGTCTTCGGCAGGCGCGCGCGCGCGCCCGACTGCGCGTTATGATTTCCGGTTTCTTCGCCGGTTCCTCGCTGGAGGGAAATACAAATCGCGGGCGCGGTTAGTACTTACAACGAAAATAGGCTCCCGCTGGAGAGAGAGCGACGAAAGTGAGATCAGATATACCACAAATACCATCATCTTGCGTTAGTCAGACGCGATTCACCTGAATCGAAACGCTTCCGGCGAGGAACTCCGGCTGGCTCATTCTGCGACTTCGCGAACTCACTGAAAATTCGCGTCACCTCGCTGCCGCGGCGCAGATCGTCCGCCTATTTGTATCGCGCGCCCGCGATGATGGTGGGAGATTAATTGTAATATTATCAGAATAAGTGGTAAGTAGCCGAACGTGGCGTTACGTCGTGTCGTGTCGTGTCGACAAACAACTCACCCGACGGACGCAACAGGCGAACAGCGACATGAGCGTGCGAGGTCGAAGCCGGCGGCGACGTGGGGCGCCGCGATCCGGTGAGGCGATCGCGACGGTGACGCTTGAATTTCGCGGATCCCCCCGTGAAATGGCCACGGCGATCGGCGGCACGGTATCGCGTCTAAAGGCAGAAGCGGCCACTCGCTGGTCCGCCGCTCTTCGACGCTCATGCGCAGCTCATGCTCAGCGCGCTGTACGCCGCGAGCACTTTGCTGAATCCCTCAGGACCGCGGATACTGCGGATACTCCTCTCGCGCGAAATTTTTCCGTCAACGTCGGTCTCTCGTCTTGCGGACGATCTAAGCGGATCAATAAATAAGTCAGCCGAGAATGGGCTGCTCGTGTCGCGCTGTGACGAATTCATGAAGGACGACGAGGCGGGGCGACGCGCGCGGTTTGCGCGTCCTTGCGCGTTCGGTTAAAGCTCGCCTCACACAGTGCGCGATGTCGCACCTGCTCATGTGGCACTCTTTGAACTGACCGGCGCGTTGCACGGTTTCGCCGCTGCTCGGAGCGCTGCGCGTGATAACGTTGGAAGCTTCATGCGAAGCTCGCAGAGCCGTGGTCGGTCAGCTGCATTGTGGAGGTAGCGTCCGCCAGATATGCGAGCGATATGAATGATCGACAGACGGAAACACTCCGATGAATCGCTCGATTCTTATTGGCGCGTGAAAAGCGCACGGCCAGTAGGAACGTGGGAATTACGCGCGCAATTAGTCCGCCGAGGTGCGCACGAAAGCGACTGGCACGTATTAGGTAACAAAAAGTCATAATTCCGAGAATCATACGCGTGTTTTAATTGTGTTGTGAGAAAAAAGGAGGAAAAGAGTAGGAACAAGTATCGATTCCTAGATAATGACGATGGTCGATGGTCAACATGGCACTGATCTCGATCACGAGGATGAGCAGCAAGGATGACGACGCGAGCGACCGATAAAATGAATAAAGCTAATAAAATCGGTGTAAAAATGAAGCTAACGAAACTTGCATAGAAATAAAATAATAATAAGCTAATGAGCCAATGAACCTTGTTTTATTAACGGGACATTGTTGGTCGTTCTATTAGTCATCTCGTTTCAACGATACGTCGAAACAAGAGACGGGCAATGTTGAAAGCAGTCGGTCAACAATGCGTTAATATAATTGAGATTAATAATTGAACAGCCCGGAGAGCGGCGAACAACACACTTGACTATGGAATGAAATAACCCAAAGGCCCTGGCATTGCACAATCTTGCACAATACGCTCTAATGCCGCGCGACGCGCATGCGTCGCGGTCACAGGATCAGCGAAAGATATACACATCGTGTAACTTGAGAGAGCGTTTTCCGACGCGAACTTTGCCTTGCGAAGGCTGGAGTTGTCCAGTATGCATGTATATACGTATATAATATACTTATAGCTTAATATATAGAGTTACAGCCGTATCACACTAGCGACTCGCGACTGCGGCTGCGATTGCGATTGCGACTCTTCCTCGACCAATCAGAAAGCAGCGACTCGCGGCTGCGACTCGCGACTATCGTTTGGACGGCTGTCCATTTTTCGAGTCGCAGCCGCAGCCGCAACCAATCACAGAACTCCGTATGCTCACGTGACCCACTCGTCATAATCACATTTATTTAATATTATATAGAAGTCGGTGATCATCAGAACAAGGTTATATCCAGTGTTGTTTTATGTGTTACATATTTTTCTTTTAAATGTCGAAACAATTTAATAAAGAGATAGACTATTATTTAGTAGATCTCGTAGAATGCAAACCCCTTCTCTGGGATTGCACGTGTGACAGTATGTTAGTAGTATTTAGCCGCAGCCGCGAGTCGCTAGTGTGATACGGTCTTTACGCGCACCTGCGCGTGCATGTGCGCGTATAACACATCGCAACAACACATTTTAATAATAAACATGACGGAGCGAAGAGCCGCAAGAGAGCGCAGTCGTTTTGGAGCGCGCGTGACGCGCAACGTGATTTAGAATGCAAAATATATCCAGAATAGATAATAATGTTCGAGCGTGCGCACACACATCGATAGCCGCGTTCATGTGTAAAGGAACACACGTGACGCACGACGCGAACGTTACATGAGCGCCGGTGAATGAGGATAATCCTGAAAAATATATTCTCATGCTTCCGCGAAACGAACTTTCCGTGTTTGGAATTTTGTATTATAGCACACGTGGTGTCGTTTCCGGCGTTTACCGCTGACTGGACACCGCGGGAGTATCGATTGTCATGTGCACGGCTGTAGCTGGGGCATTCGGCACCCGGGGCATCACGGTTGCGATTTTGAAGGCCACGGAAGAGGCCATTTTGGTGTACGCGAATACGTGAAATAATATATTACGCTCGCAAACTGATTTCAAAAGTACCTCTCTCGAAAAATGTTTCACTCGCCTGTGTCACCACTTTTGTTCTTGACATCATATTCTCGCAGAAAAATATAAACGCGTCATCCTTCCTGCAGCTTTCCTCACGGCACGATATTAATAACAATAAAGATTAATAAATTGTTTGTCGGCTAAGTACATGTATCTTATCTGGCAAACGTAAATAATCGCGATTACTATAAATGATTAAAAACAATATTTGCAATCTGATTGTGGTTAAACTTGAAACGCACTAACTTCAAGCAAAGACACTCTACCTTTGCCAGTCAGAAAGGAAGAGAATTATTTAAATGTTAATGTATTTTGTGAATTTTGCAGCGAATGCAAGGCAGCACAAAGTTGCGAATCGCGTAAACAGCTGGCCTCTATCGAATGTTACGGAAACTGCGAAGACGACGAGCGAACGGTAATTCCGGAGAATTTTCTCGCTCGTGTTGTTCATCGTCTTTTTAGTTATTCAAAAATTTAAATTGTAGATAGCGAATTAGCATAATAGAAAATCCGTTATTTTTATCGTCTTTACCACTGAGCTTATCTCCAAATCTTTAAAAATTCAGTTCCGAGAACGAGTGAAAATTATTCGCTGCGAAACACTTCACGATTCCGCAACACGCATTTATATAATCCTCGTCTCATAGAAATATTTAATATAGCTTGAGATTAAACGTTCGATTTATTTTTAATGACGCACTAATCGCATTGTATACAGCTTTTACCGTCGTAAATTTGTTTAAAAAACAATCTAGTTGAGATAAACGCGATATAAATCGTCTCAATAAAGCAAACATCATGATTCCTTCATCCCAAGAAATTTCGCTCCGTTATGTTTTCGCGAAGTAACTACATCCATAAAAAGATAAGATAAATTACTACAAAAATTGTAGTTTAATGACGCTTCTGCGGCTGATGGATAAAATAATTCGTTATGTGCGAAACGCACGAATTGAGATAACATGTACGCATTATTCGAAGCGCGCGCGCGTACGCGATCCTAGCCGAAACCGGTTTTATCAATTGACACCATCCGGTAAAAATAAACCGCATGCCAATACAAAGTGCACCGGGAGATTTTCTAATCGCATTAGCAATTTCTCTCCGTGAAATCCCAATTGCGTCGAAGTCGTGTGGAAGCGGTCCTTTCTTTTCCTCCTTTTTTCCATGTCGAGCACCACGTTTAAAAACCTGTCGGTCTCGAATTAATACACGTTAAAAAGGGCTTAGTCATCTTGAGTCCTGGATTTATCTCGTCACGCTGATGAGAAGGAGTTTGGAGGAAAGTGGGGCTGGTGGGGGGAGAGGGGGAAGCGTGTCTTCACGTTGTAAATTAAAGAAATACTTCATGCAGAAGCGTTATTAGCTTCTTCGCGCGTTTCACCGTCTTTTCATTATCGAGTTTTCAAGTGGGAAATGTCCGACTCGCAGTCTCGAATATTCACACAAATATCTCGCAGTCGGTATCCTTGAAAAAGGCGAATTTATGCGATTTTCTTTTATAACATCACCATGATATTTGAACGAATCTGCCCAACGACGTAATTTTACAAACACAATTGAAGAGTCTCGAAAGAAAGGCGAATTTGCAGTCGCTCGAGCGCCATTCCCGAAGATCGATGCGGCACTTAATTCGACCTGTGTACCATTGACGTTTCTTACTTTTGTACTCGACGAGAGGCTGCTGGTATGCGAGGCAGAATGCGAGGGAGAATGACAAAAATACGCCGATAAAACTCAGGTGAACGACGAGTGGTGAACGTACGGTACGTCCCGTCGTACCGTTTTGGTGGCAGAGTCGTTAGTCCCTCTCTCTTGGCGAATTTCAGTGCCGGCTTAAACGCGGGCGTCTCTCGGACGAGAGAGAGAGAGGGAGAAGGAGAGAGAGGGAGAGAGAGAGAGAGAGAGAGAGAGAGAGAGAGAGAGAGAGAGAGAAGTCCGCCGCGGCAAATAATGTCACAAAATTCTCGACTTTCATGCAAGTATACACAGAACTACTCCCAGCTAGTTATGAACGCGCCAACGTAAATTTACAGATTCTCCGGATGAATCGGCCCCCTTTCTGACTGAAATATCGAAGGAGATCATCATTTTTCACTGCGGCTTGTCCGTTCCGCATTGCATACAAAGTATGCTGGAGCGAGAATTCCTCTGATGAAATGAAGTCTAGCCGACGTTAGCCAAACGACATGCTCTTTGTCACCCACCACGCCTCGCGAAAAGCCTTTCAACTTTAATTGTCAGTTAGCGTTACTCGAGAACCACTGATATCTGGCCCACTGACATTTTCCGTGAGGAAAAGTCGACTCTAATTTCGCGGGAAGAGCTACCATTGAGCGTTGATGCGACGAGACATTCTGAACGTGAGACGTCCGACTCGAGAGGACTATTTTTGCGGGCGCGCGCGCGCGCGCACGCAGCTATACCTGCCGTACTCGAGATGAAATAAGTGCACGTCGGAGCGTCGCGAGGAAGCAGCGAGAGAGGGATAGACGTGAGGAAAGTACAGGTACAGGAAAACGCGAGCCGGGAAAGCAGATCTTACCAAGAATACTGATATTACGAATACCTGTCGAAGAACGCAAGCTCAAGTGTCAATTAGTATCTATAACGAGCGAAGAATCCATTTCTCAGAAGGCGAGCCCTGAATCTCGCGCGAGACCGACCAGGCCAAGCAGGCGCGATCACGTGGCGAAGTACCGCGTGAAGCACGAGAAAGACGAGGAGAAGGACCTCCGCGATATCGAGTGGTGTTATCGATCGCACGAGCGCTCGCGCCGCCAGCGGATAGCTACAGGCCTGAGCTGGTCTCACGGCCGAGGGCCTTTCAACTCGGCCTGTATTTCTCCTACAGTCTCTTGCAAGGTGTGGTTCTCGCCGCTGTCCGCGGAAGTATGCCGCCGTGGGATCAACAAGTGTCGCCGCGCAAGATCTACGTACGCGAAACGATCGAGCGAGCGCGACGTCGCTAGTCGTTCTCGATCCTCCGGCGAGGAATCGCGCGGATAACAGACGGTGCGTGCGCGAACAGAGACGTCGGCTTCGAAGTGCGATTATCGA